AAAGTGTTGTCATGAAAAATTTCATGAAGCTTTAAAAAATTGTAGGAACCATCCAATCGGAAGCACATAATCGCATCTGGACATATTTGCCCTCGAAATTATGCAATTTATGTTGGCTGAGCCGATACAACATACACTGAAACTGTTTAAAAATTTTAAAAAAATGAACAAAGTGACCCAAAATGAGACTGGGTCAAATTCACAAATTATTGAACTTTCAGTTCTATTTAAAAAAATGTTTAAATTGGAAGAAAACACATGCTCGAAAAAGTAAGACAATAAAAAGCATATCAGATTAAAAAATGGTGTATAAAAAAACAGGAAACGAACGAACCGACAAAAATTAGGACGAAAACCACGAAACACAAAAAAAGTAATTACAACCTGAAACGGGCTTTACCTAACTACTAATTAAACTATAGAAGTTTTATTTGAATTTTTCAAAAAAAAAATTTAGCATGTCAGAAGATGAAAGAGTCCAGGAGATATGAAATCAGCCATGTGAACAAAGTTATTTACGGGCAAAAAGTCTAGTACCCGATTGCAATACCCTTGCTGATTATCGAACATAATGTCTCTTATAATTTGGAAAAGACTTTAATGGTTGAACATCTTTTTGGCAAAAAAACAGAATTTGAGAAAACGGCATGTATAGTTAATTTTTATTCCTCAGGGAAATCTAATAATTAAATTCCCTTTCGTAATTCCCTTTTTACGGAAATTCAAAAACAAAAGGTTGAATAGAAAATAAGGCCGAAATATTTCTGTGAGACTGAATATGAATAAATAACGTTGTTTATCCGCCCTTCTTTAATTAATGAGTCTCCTAATCAAACGAGTTTGGGTGAACTATTCCTTTTTTAACTTTTGTAACAAAAAAGAATTGCATCAGGAACAACCCAGACTGGACGAACTAGCATCAGCTGCAACAATGAACTTGCAAGTCTGGGTCATTAAAATTGCTAATTACTTTTGCATGAAAGTTTCCAGGTTTTTTCAACAAGCTAATATTCTCAGGTAAAATATTCCGGACAGAAGTAAGGGACGTCTATCGCGACGGCTTAGCTGAAAGTTGATGTACAGGTGGCCCACGCAGATTGCCTCGAACACGATTTTTTAAACTTTTCTTCAAACCATGAAGCAAACAAAGCACAAGGTTTTATACTAACTTACAATTAACTTTAATGTGCGCCGTTATTTATAAATCAGTTAAATTTAAATGATTTTTCGAGTCTGGCTAATGAACTAGTTATTTGCCCGTTTTGTTACACCCAGGCGAAGCTGCACTTTACAAAGACAAGCGAGAAAAGGGCAAAAAGTAGCTCTTAAAGGGTGAAAAATGGGGAAAAAGAGAAAGAAAACGGTTAACTAAAACTCTGATATGTGCGGGAATCGAACCACCAACCTCGAGATTAAACGCCACAAGTCCAGGCATTTGCAATATTTCCCGTTCCTAAAACCTAATTATTTACTAGGGGTCCAGCTAAAACTCGAGCAAACTGTTTGATAAATTTTTTGAATCAAGCTGATGCGAAAAAATTATTTCCAACGAATAACATTTTTGTTTCCAAAAACGAATAAAGTTTTAAAAAATGGATTTTTGCTGGGTCCAATATTGCTCATATAAAACAATTAGACCAAAATCACTACGAATAGAAGTTCCTTGCGCATGAACTTTTTTTAAAACTCTTAATCTTAGATAAAATCAAAAAGTTTTCAAAAAACTGGCAAAATATTCAAAATGGACAATTTCTATGACCAGAACATGTCTCAAAAAAATGAGCGTAGTTTTTTAAGCAATGATGATTGCCAGCATTAGCTTCTTGCGATTGAATCATTAATCTATGATTTGGCATTATAGATTTCGAGAAAAGGAAGAAGCTTCCAAAAAAAAAACGTTCAGATGTTCAAAATTTGGACAACTTCTAAGATTATAATTCTTTTTCTACCAAGATTATGACGTATCAGCGTATGAATGGGCAATCGCCAGAACATGTTGGAGTGAGTCCCATAAAACTATCACTCAATCTCAGATTTAGCAGGAAACTTTTCAAGAAACAAAAAAGTAATCCAAAAAAATGTAGAAAAAATCATTGGAAAGTTTTGAAGGCTGTAAAGCGTCGATTGAAGTGAAAAGAGACACGTGGTGTATGCAATAAGACAGGCGAGCTTTTCTTCTTTCTTTTGGTACCAGTTTTTTGAAATCAGCAAATTAACGTTTTTGTGAAAAAAGCAAACATTTTCCAAAGCTTCTAAAAAAATATTAAAGCAAATCCCATATACAGGTTTAATTTTTATGGCCTGAAAACGCTTGCTGTACCATGGGTACTGAAAACAATCAGAAACTGGATGCCAATTAAGTCCAAGACTTTTGAAGTTGTGGTAATTTTCTGCTAAATATAATTCTTCATATGTTAGAGTGTGTTTGGTAAACCATTCAAGGCACCCGAAATTGAAGCACTCCATATCCAAAGTGTTCTTGATGGCTGTTTTCTCACTACTTGCTTCACTCATATAAAATTTTATGAATTGCCAGCTTTTTTTTCGCCTTCTTTTTTATCGGTTCAAATTCCCATAATCTGTTAATTGTTGTTAACCGGCTGTAACTGATTCCAGGAAACTGGTCCAATATATCGGCGAGTGTTTTTGTTGTGTGATTTTGTGATCGGCATCAGCAACACTGAAACTGTCTAATCATGCATCCTGTCAGTCACCAGTGCAATTCGGTCCTTGACGTTCCGTGATTTCTGATTGTGGGTATAGACGAATTGTCCAAGCAGTAGGTCAATTTCTTGGGGCTTACGAAAGCTGGATCTGATACGTTGTAGTTGTAGACCTTATATATATCTGTGGCTGCTTTTTTGCCTTTATAAATGCTCATGATCCCTGATGGTTAACTCTATTTATGCGATCAGGAGCTGCTGTTGATTTGATATCAAGCCGGTGCTTGACCTGTAGGCTGATGACATTCGTCTGTACGCAACTGCAAACAAGCACCCTCAAATTTCGACCGCTCTGAGAACGAACTTTGACGTTTGCGATTGGAAAAACTGTAATGGTTGCAGTTTGGTTGATTCGAAAAGCATCTATTGTTGCCGTGAGATGATGACTGGGTAGGGTAGAACTCCGATGAAGAGTTGTATGGAGCTTTTTTGACATGTGTTACACAATTCAGTTGAAAAACATTGCTGGATACCGTGACTGGCAGACAAATAGTTGAAGCTCATCTTATTGCTGATAACTAAATTCTTTCGTTCTGATGCCGAGATAGGTCCGTATTCTCACACTGCGAAATAGGATGTCTTTTTGGACAGATTGTAACTTTATCTTATGACAAAGAGAAGCCATTCTTGTGAGATTGGATCTTTTCTGTTATGAACATCACACTCAGGTTTGTGGAGTCTAGCATGAGATTCTTGAACAACCTTCCAAGATCTTGAACCACCTCCCAAAACTCTGCTGTCTAAGAATATTATGAGTCGCTCACAATCAAGAGCTCTGGTTCTATCGTTAGCAGTTTATGTCTTCTCTGATTCAAGATCGAGATTCTCAAAAAAAATAAAGTGCCACAAATCTTTTTTCTCGACCATCCGAGTACTTTGATCCATTGCGAGATCTGTTGAAGACTGAGTTTAGCCGACGAATTTAAGATGTTTTCTCCGTTTGAACAGCTGTAAATCCATGATTCCTTGACAAGAGCTTGCGATATGTGACTCGATCAATTTTGTATCTCTACTCTAGCATGTGAAGCGCTACTTCGTAATCGTTTTTGTCGTTTTCAAGTTCCTTGTATGTTTGGAAGCATGGTTCATCAAACAAATTTTGAGGTACCTAAATGACGACAGCTTCTTATTCTCATGGACAGTTGAGCACAACTGATCATTGAAGCTTAGCCAGGCAGTGAAATCTTCTCTGAAGCTAAGAAGTTGACAATTTTGGCAATTTTGGTCTGATCCTTGTAGGTCCTATCTGTGTGCGTTGTTAGAAAAGGGTCGATAGGTTGACTCAAAGTGGCTATCATTCTCATTATTGCTTGTAGAGTTTGGCGAGGAGCTTTCTGTGAATTATGACATTGTTCAAATACTTGATCATATTCGGCATCATCAGTGATTACTTTAAGCAGCTTGTGAACAGCGGCTGAGGATTGATCAAGCAATGCTCAAGCTCTGTCTGTTCTGATGATACATTGAACTACATTGTACAGAATAACATTGATACATTGAACTGATGATACATTGAACTTTGTAGTCGGCTTAGCCAGTGTGCGTAGTTTCTTTAGGTTATGAGGAGGATTAAAATGAATACTTCGCTATAGTTGGAAAGCGATTGTGTCAAACGAAAATTGAATTTAAAATAATTTAGTAACAGAAACAAACAAAAGAAACAAATAAAAAAACAAGAGAGAAAATATGCGTTTCAAGTTGAGTTTAGATATGATTAAATTATCTTATCTTTAAAAAATGTATTTTGTTTGCTCCAACAATACTCTTTAAAAATCTCTCAGTTGGTTTACTCTGCTGTTCAAACCTTCCGTTAACTTCCTCTCTCCTCTTACATGACTTACTCTTACGGTCGCTTGAACAACTTTTCACAATCTCAAAATCGAATCTCTTAAGCTACGATTGCGCGCTCGCTAGCATGATTGGGTTGAGAAAACGACCCGGAGCTGCACAGATTCAAAGGGAGAAAAACGCAGTTATTGATTGGTTCATCCCTATTTTGGTAATTTTGTTTAGTACTTCTGATCGCCATTATGCACACATAGGTCTGCATTATAGTTTTGAAAAAAGCGTAGCGAGGAAGCATATATTGAACAATTGTTTCTGTTTTGCTACAGAACATACACTAGAAAAGCATGATCGCCAAATTCAAAAGCGCAGATACAAAAAATACCAACTTTGCCTAATTATCATGGTTGAAAAGACAGAAAATGGAATTGTAAACAAATCGAACACCTCGCGATTCGGGTTGCAAGTTTTTACAAACTTTAGCTCATTTCAAATTTAACTGGTTTAGTCCTATTTTCTGACGTTTCAACCATTTGATGAACTGAATGAATAGAGGAAACTTGTATTGTATGTTGAAAGGGGAAGGGGTGGTTTTTAGTTTTTGAAGCATTTTGCGGGACACTTTTGGAGTCCGTTGGGGTCGCACTGGGTGCATTTGAGACAGTTGAACATGTCTGTGAATCCATTGCGCACACTGCTTGACTTCTTACTCCCATTGCACTGTCTGCAGAGAATGTAGCAGTATCCCCAACACTCATTGCACACGTTATTCCCAGTGCTGATTTTCTTCAAGGAGAAACAAGCACAAAATATCAACCAAAACAAACACTTGACGTTTGGAAAAGTGTCGATGATCTTAGAGACCCCGAAAAAAAGATCGTTTCAGAAAACAAAATATATACACAGAGGCAAAGCGGATCTGAAGAATGTTGAAATAATTATTCGAAAAAATTGAGAAAAATTGAAAAAAATTCGAGAAAAATTGAAAAAAATACAGCTAAAAAACTTCTTGGTTGTATAGATAAAAATTCATAAACAGCCTTAAAAATTGAAAATAATTTACCGAGCGGGCGGCAAAAAAACTTATTTGAGCCGAAAGCAAAAGTGTTGTCATGAAAAATTTCATGAAGCTTTAAAAAATTGTAGGAACCATCCAATCGGAAGCACATAATCGCATCTGGACATATTTGCCCTCGAAATTATGCAATTTATGTTGGCTGAGCCGATACAACATACACTGAAACTGTTTAAAAATTTTAAAAAAATGAACAAAGTGACCCAAAATGAGACTGGGTCAAATTTACAAATTATTGAACTTTCAGTTCTATTTAAAAAAATGTTTAAATTGGAAGAAAACACATGCTCGAAAAAGTAAGACAATAAAAAGCATATCAGATTAAAAAATGGTGTATAAAAAAAACAGGAAACGAACGAACCGACAAAAATTAGGACGAAAACCACGAAACACAAAAAAAGTAATTACAACCTGAAACGGGCTTTACCTAACTACTAATTAAACTATAGAAGTTTTATTTGAATTTTTCAAAAAAAAAATTTAGCATGTCAGAAGATGAAAGAGTCCAGGAGATATGAAATCAGCCATGTGAACAAAGTTATTTACGGGCAAAAAGTCTAGTACCCGATTGCAATACCCTTGCTGATTATCGAACATAATGTCTCTTATAATTTGGAAAAGACTTTAATGGTTGAACATCTTTTTGGCAAAAAAACAGAATTTGAGAAAACGGCATGTATAGTTAATTTTTATTCCTCAGGGAAATCTAATAATTAAATTCCCTTTCGTAATTCCCTTTTTACGGAAATTCAAAAACAAAAGGTTGAATAGAAAATAAGGCCGAAATATTTCTGTGAGACTGAATATGAATAAATAACGTTGTTTATCCGCCCTTCTTTAATTAATGAGTCTCCTAATCAAACGAGTTTGGGTGAACTATTCCTTTTTTAACTTTTGTAACAAAAAAGAATTGCATCAGGAACAACCCAGACTGGACGAACTAGCATCAGCTGCAACAATGAACTTGCAAGTCTGGGTCATTAAAATTGCTAATTACTTTTGCATGAAAGTTTCCAGGTTTTTTCAACAAGCTAATATTCTCAGGTAAAATATTCCGGACAGAAGTAAGGGACGTCTATCGCGACGGCTTAGCTGAAAGTTGATGTACAGGTGGCCCACGCAGATTGCCTCGAACACGATTTTTTAAACTTTTCTTCAAACCATGAAGCAAACAAAGCACAAGGTTTTATACTAACTTACAATTAACTTTAATGTGCGCCGTTATTTATAAATCAGTTAAATTTAAATGATTTTTCGAGTCTGGCTAATGAACTAGTTATTTGCCCGTATTGTTACACCCAGGCGAAGCTGCACTTTACAAAGACAAGCGAGAAAAGGGCAAAAAGTAGCTCTTAAAGGGTGAAAAATGGGGAAAAAGAGAAAGAAAACGGTTAACTAAAACTCTGATATGTGCGGGAATCGAACCACCAACCTCGAGATTAAACGCCACAAGTCCAGGCATTTGCAATATTTCCCGTTCCTAAAACCTAATTATTTACTAGGGGTCCAGCTAAAACTCGAGCAAACTGTTTGATAAATTTTTTGAATCAAGCTGATGCGAAAAAATTATTTCCAACGAATAACATTTTTGTTTCCAAAAACGAATAAAGTTTTAAAAAATGGATTTTTGCTGGGTCCAATATTGCTCATATAAAACAATTAGACCAAAATCACTACGAATAGAAGTTCCTTGCGCATGAACTTTTTTTAAAACTCTTAATCTTAGATAAAATCAAAAAGTTTTCAAAAAACTGGCAAAATATTCAAAATGGACAATTTCTATGACCAGAACATGTCTCAAAAAAATGAGCGTAGTTTTTTAAGCAATGATGATTGCCAGCATTAGCTTCTTGCGATTGAATCATTAATCTATGATTTGGCATTATAGATTTCGAGAAAAGGAAGAAGCTTCCAAAAAAAAAACGTTCAGATGTTCAAAATTTGGACAACTTCTAAGATTATAATTCTTTTTCTACCAAGATTATGACGTATCAGCGTATGAATGGGCAATCGCCAGAACATGTTGGAGTGAGTCCCATAAAACTATCACTCAATCTCAGATTTAGCAGGAAACTTTTCAAGAAACAAAAAAGTAATCCAAAAAAATGTAGAAAAAATCATTGGAAAGTTTTGAAGGCTGTAAAGCGTCGATTGAAGTGAAAAGAGACACGTGGTGTATGCAATAAGACAGGCGAGCTTTTCTTCTTTCTTTTGGTACCAGTTTTTTGAAATCAGCAAATTAACGTTTTTGTGAAAAAAGCAAACATTTTCCAAAGCTTCTAAAAAAATATTAAAGCAAATCCCATATACAGGTTTAATTTTTATGAAACCTATTGTGTGTCAAACAGGTGCTGGCTGCTAAAAAACCATATGCTAAAATGTTTTGCTATGCAGCAAAAAATAAACCAAATCTCAAAATGCAAAAAGTGCCACTTTTTTGAGCACTTTTATTTGCGATTTAGGTATGAAAAAAAGTGGATAGAATGAAACAAGACTGCTCGTATCAGGGCGAAGCCCTCAATGTTCCGACTGCCTTTTAAGATTTATGGAGCAGAAAGAACATAGAAAAATTTAAATGAAATAAAATAAAATGAAAATCATCCCCCCACACGCCAATTAAAGTACAAAAGGATAGATTTCGTTCCTTGTACAAATCAATTATGGCAAATAAGCTTCGTTCAACCAATTTGGAACTATTTCTAAGACGGATTAAATCTCCGCTTACGCGTTAATAGTGCGAAATATATCGCGCGTTAATTGTCCCAAATTGGTCAAAATGGCCTAAATGGCAATCTTTAAACCCCCATAACTTTACGAAAAATAATCACAGGTGAAATATCTTTTCAAAATTAAGCTCAAAACAACAATAGCTTTCGAATGATATTAAAAAAATTCCGTCGAAAATGGCTAGTTAAAAAGTCGAAAATTGTCTGAAGAAAAAAAACCCACCCCGAGCACAGATATTCCGTTACTTTCGTATCGAAAGTCGGAACAAAATTACTACGTTGCGTTGCGTAATCACGTAGATTCACTTTAAAGTAACTCAAAAATAAGTCATTGAGCAATTTGAAGTTACTTTGACATGATATTCCACAAGGAACAAATTTCTGGTCGTATTGTTATTGTACTAATTGCATGATGATTTGTTACAAAGTTATGAGTTTGCGGAGATTGGCACAGATTTTGTCCTAATACAAATTTGGTCCTATTTATTTATATAATAGATTTCGTGTCACACAGTTTTCGTCCCATATCCAACATATTTTGTCCTATTTTAGGAAAATTACTGTAATTGCGGATTAAGTAGTTCTCATTAGTGTTAATCGCGTCCCGCTGTGATTTGAAGCATTGAATTGCTTTGATTATTTATATTGTGAAACGCATTTTTTTTTTTAATTACTTGCTTTTGAAAGCGCACACTTTACAAAAAAAAGGACGAAATATGTGTACTCCTAAATTTGTGGGACGAAATCTGTGTACGCTTTGAAATGTGACGAAATCGAATGAAATTAAAATGGGACGAGATCTGTCATAAGACGAGATCTGTCACAGCCGTTTGCGAAAGCATTTTCTTCGAACAAGAAAGCTTGCCTTGTTCGATAATAGTTTTTAAATTTTTCAACACATTCTCAAAGAAGCTAAATTGTTTTCGTCTTTGTGCTATCAAATGTTTGCTCTGCAATTTTTTTCATGGACGAGCGCTGTTATGTCCTTGATTAAGTATTATATGGGCTTTTTAGCTCAGTTTTCCGGGCGGGGTAATGTTGCATCACCCTTAAGCAATTAGAGTGGATAATGTGCACCTCGAACATCAAAGCTTTCCATCGCGAGGCTCAGAATTCTTCATTTTACTCCCGCTCCCTAAATCTTGTAAAAAGTTCGCAAAGATTAATACCAAGACTTGTTGCTTTATCATAAATACAGCGGTCGAAGTATTCCGTACTACTTGCTCTGCAACCCTTGTTCACATCTGGATTAACATCGTAGTCGATGCACAAAAGTATGCATTTTTTTAAAAACTTTGCTTCGGTCCTACACAATGCAGGGTCTTCCTTGGGAGGGAAGTGCCATACATTTCACCGTAGCCGTTCCCACCTCGAGGAGGCGGATGGCATTGGGAACCCTTCGACCTGGTTTAAAATTGGAAGGAGAAGCTTACCTCAAAGCGTTTCAGTGATTTCTTCAACTCTCCACTTTCGTTCAGCTCTTCTATCTTCTTGGCATTCTAAAATGTATAATTTCAAACAAACCAAAATTAATTGTTAACAAATATGAAAAAATAGCACGTCAGTTCAATGTTTTCAACAAATGACAAAAAAATGCATCTTTTTTTGCAAAAATGTTAACTTACTCCTAACCAGACTCCGTCGATGAACACCTGTGGGACATCTAACTGACTGCCCCCACCCACTGATGGCAGACTAAGACTATTGTTGCTCACACTTCCCCCCGTCCCTGTCCCCGTACCTGTCCCTCCCCCTCCACAGGCCTTCATCCTCATCTCGAACTCACTCACATTCTCCTTGCTCAGAAACAGATCCCTCTCCTCGAATTTCACCCGGTGGTTCATCAGGATTTTGCGCACTGCCAAACACCTGAACAAAACAGTGGGCAAGTTTTTCAGAAGAGTTCAACGGCAATTTCTTTACTGCTAGTTGAAAAAAGACTCAAACAATTTTAATCAATTTTGTTTCTGTTAAATTCATCCCTAGTATGCTAAATACCAGTTTGATAATTGTCCTGAAAAATTTATTCAAATAATTGCCGTTTCTCATAGAAACAGTACCTTCAAACCTTTGACAGAAAAAAAAGGCTAATTGACCGCACAATACAGAAAAAACGGATTTCTCCAAGTTAAAAAGCGACTAGAAAAAATTGATTTTGTTCTATTTTTCTAACCTGTTTCCGACCTCGGGAATAATTCCATTAGATGTTGTGTACAATACCACTCTTCCCTCTTCGTCTGGGAACACTAGGGTGGAGTTCTTGCCCTGGTCACTTCTGATTTTGGCCTTCTTTAAAAGACACCACCATCAGGAGTTTGGATATTATGTGATCATTTTGTATCAAAAATTCAGAGGGATTGAAAAAAAAGTTGATTCTAGAGATTTGTATTCATTCTTTTGACAGTTTTTTTTTCTATTCATAGTTTTCGAAATTATGACATTGAAGTTAAACTGATAGTAACCTGTTGTTTTTGACAACAAGAGTTGTTTTTGACAATAGTAATTTATATACCATATAATTTATTTAAATACCTTTATAAAACTAATAAAAACTTGAGAAAACCTTCTTCATGAAAATTTCAATCTAACATAAAAAATGACCACTTTTATTCATCATAGTTTACCGTCTCAATATCTGGCTCGTAGTTGAACGCAATCAGCGCCGTCCTCACTTTATTCTGCACTCCCCTTATGGTCCCCTTGTGACTCACAATCCCCTTGCCCTCCGCCGACCCAGACCCTGGACTGGTCCAGGTTCGAACCCCGCTCACTCCGGGATCCATAACTGAACTACTTCGGCTTAGACTCCCCGAGTTTAGAGACGAGCGGTCCTCTTCGGTTAAATTGTCTGAAGCATAGCCGCTGCTAGATTCAGTCCATATATGGACATTACTTCCGCTTCCGAATGAATCGGACAAATTATTCCGGTCTTTGTCGCTCGTCAGTTTTTGTGGCCCAGTCGTGGAGTTAGCTGCTTGGAAGTAAATCACAGGCGTGGAAGTCGTGTGAGGATTCTGATTGGTCGGCGGTTTGCGCTTTGTGGTGCCGGTTTGTGACTGGTTGCTTTGGAAGATCATGAAGCTGGTAGGCAGTTGGTCTGGTTTTGAATTTTGATCAGAGGAAGACTAAAAAATTAACTAGCTTTAAAATCGATAATCGATAACTTTATTTTAAAATTTTTATTTAAAATTTTTATTTAAAAAAAATTGCGTTGAAAATAATAAGAAAAAAAGGTTCGGTAGATAGGAAGCAGTGTCTTGCAAAAAAAGAACTGCTCGTATCAGGGCAAAGACCTGAATGTCCCAACTGTCCATAAAATGGTCTCGAATATTTTTGGTTATTGAATTATTGACAAACTATGATTTTTAGGCGGATAATATTACACAGAGGCAAAGCGGAGCTTCCAATCACTTGTTACACCACAAAAATAGCATTGCAAGCTAGAAGATCGGAAAACAAAAAAGAACCACTATCTTCAACGAAAATGGAAAAATTTTCAAAGAAACCACAATTAAAAACTTTAAGATGCTTGGAATGATGTTCTATTTGCGGAAAACACGTCCAGAAACATATTCAACGGCGTTTAATGAATATTCAAAAACAATTATCAGGCGAAAACAAAATTGTTGTCATGAAAATTTTGAACAATTAATTCTATTTTGAGATTTTTAACGTTTTGTGCGATCCGGCAGAAAGCATACAAGTTATGTTTCCTTCAAACGACCCAAAATTAGGTTAATAAGTTGACATAAAATCCGAAATATTTAAGGCCACAAAAATTTTTAAGCAAAAAAAAACAAAAAGAGAAAATATGCGAAGTCAAGTTTAGTAGAATTACAAATTGCAGGAGTAAATGAAAACATAGAAAGCAACTACAATGAAAACTGCATACGGCAAAAAATTCTAAGATGTGGCAACTAAGCTGACAAAGCATCAGCAGACAAATAATAGTCCGACAATTTTTTTGAAACTGAATATTTCCCGTTTGAAACAACAAGCCCTGGTCAGATTGGAACTCAGAACCTTTGCCGTCCCAGGCGTATTTGTTACCTCCAGACTAAGGATGCCGGAGACGCTTAGAAATTTGAATTCATTATGAACCAAAAGATTATGTTAAACAAGTTGTTAGCTCGAAAAAATTCTATAACCCGATTTGATAACGCTTGGTAATCACAAGTGTAAGGAGTTGTGTATGAAATTAATAAGACCAATTAGCTTGCCTTAATTGAATTTGGAACAATTTTGTGGCGCTGGATAATAAGCCACGCGTCAATATTGTGCGTAATCTTTTCAGCATCAAAGTATTACAGCGCTCGTATAGTCACGTTAGTATGGTAGTGAGCGGTTAAAACGGCTAAGAAGTCAGGGCAGAGCTAAGAACTAAGTGCGCCTCTACCTCCTGGAACACAAAGATCCATAGATCGATCCTCCGAGAGAAATATTTTGAGCGTTGGTCTCAAATACTAAGCCACCCCGAGCATACATGTATTCCTTACCTTCTTCGAAAGTCGGAACAATAAAAAAAAACGTTTCAGCAGATAAGAGGTAGTATCTTTTACCTTCTCATTTTGCAAATTTAGTTCTGTTACATTTGTATCCTATAGATAGATAAAGGCCCACCGGCGTGCCCAAAAACTTCCTGGGAACTTTTTTTCGTCGATAGACATTTTAGCGAATAAAAACTAGTTTAGTTACAAAAATGAGTAGTTTCTAAGCCCAACTGACTTTGTTATGTTGGTTTGATCTCGGCAATGTCTGGCTCTTCTGTTCTCCTGTGACCTGACTTGACCTTTGATTGGGGTCACCATTTGCCATGGTTCCCTTGAGAGGCACTTTTGTAGTCACTGTCTCAGAGGTCAACTGCGAGATCTGCGAGTGGAATCAGAGACAGTTGTTTAGGCTGTGATATGAAAAAGGTTAGAAATACTTCAATCTTCGGAAATGAACTCGTATCTTCCTATACATCATGCAGGTATGTTTATTGACCACAAAAAAAGCTGAAATATTTGTATTTTTTGTTAATTTTGCTGAACAGTTTTTTGTGACTTATTGTGCTGAAAATGACACCTGTTAAACTTTATCTTTGATAATCCAGTATTTTACCTGTACTGAAGTCAAACTCCTGTTCACGATTTCCACATTATTCGTTTTCTGATCTCCACAGCCTCCGAAGTTGTTCACCTGCTTCACTTGTTTGTTCATACTTCCACCAACAGCAGAAGTGGAAGAAGACGAAGGACTATTATCACTCTTCTCGTGCTTGATTTGGTCCACGTGTTTTTTGTGGAACTCGGCTATTTTGGCACGATGCTCCTGCAGCTGTTCAGTCGTTATTCCAGTATCAATCACCATCGTCAAAACTTAAGTTATGATTCTTATGATTTTTAAAAAACACACTAGTTATCTGGTTATTAATACTCAATATTTCTAAAAAATCAATTTCTCGTTTAAGCGTGTCTCGAAAAAGGAGCCGCTATTGATCTAGAAAGAAATATAAAATATCTGAATTTTTGAACAAAGAATTTTACTGTTTTACAAGGTTGTCAAAACCATTGATTCGTTCACCACTATAGAGGCGTGCTGCAAATTTGGAAAAATTGTAGAAAAACTGAGTTTATGTGGAAAAATGGGAAAAACGTGGAAAACTGGTTCTACAAATAGGTATCGGGGAAAAATTTGACCAGTTAGAGGAAAAGGCAGGTGACAAATAACAATCAGACTGCTAGGCACAATTAGAAAACAAGGCGAAATTCTACGGCACCAGTCGTAAAGTTCTGCCAAACGTTTCATCGCCCCAATAAACACATTGTTTGCAAAGACAGTATAACCAAAATGCTGTAAACATTATTGTACAACAAACCGCTTTCGGCGTTTTTTTTTCAAAATGCATTTTTTAAAACCAAAATCAACTTGATAGATTTCTTTTCTCACTTAAAAAATCCATATGAGATTCTTTCAACCAGAAACGCAAACTGGTACTTTAAAGTGGCAAAAAACGGAAGCATCTGACTTTGGTATTTTTAAAACCAAATTTCCAATAATTTGCTTCACAAGTTGCTATATATTTTTTTGACTATAATATAAGTATTAATGACGTTGTGGTATTGTGAGAAAAACAATGAAGGTTTAAACCACAAACTTCAATATCTGGAGAGTTCAGCAGCATTTTTTGGTTTCTCAATTTTTTTCCGAAATCATACAACTTCGATGCCTTATCAAACCTATCTAAAATTTTAATCAAAGCTGTAGCTGATAAAAGTTTTTAGTTTTTTTTCCCAGTTTTTCGGTACAACAAAAACACGTCAAATGGTGTAGTGTCAGAATGGATTCCTTTTAATTTTCATTCGAATTCAAATATAGTTTTTTTAAAAATCTTATTCCGACTACATAAGTACGTAAATGTTATAACCACATGTATTTGGGTGTCTTTTTTTCCGCGTAAACCCAGGCACTATAACATATTGATATATCCTATTGAATCTGTTCCGATAGTGAATAGATCTGCACTGATAAATTTAAATTTTTTGACTATTATTCCACAAGAGAATAGACCACTGGAGAATCCCTGTTGTGCCTATGGTTAAGATATACATGTAGTATTTGGCTATTTTTTGGGGCAGAGTTTTGTTGCCACACTATCAAGCAACGAGTACAATTAATGGTGGGCCTCAAACAACCGGCTTCTCCGTGGCTAGGCGGAGAGGTACCCGTTTCACCTCCACTAACATTTCAGAAACGCTTCCCCGATATCGCGAAAAAACGTCCGAATTATTTTTCAAAGCAATTTCAATCTTTGAAGCCGAATTTTTCTATCAAAAACTTTCATCTGGGTGCGTGAGAATTTGGGCAAAAAAAGAGAATGCGGATTTGAATGCGCCATTTTTAGTATATGTTCTGGTTTACTTTGCGTCACTATTAAATCCGTAGGCTTATTCACCTCAGCGACAAAGGAAAGCAACTATGGTAAAAAGTTTTCTTCATGCAAGTTTGGATAAATCAGAAAACCTTAGCATTGTCAAATAATCAGTTTTGACTTTTTGATCTTTAAGTAAAAATTTTACCACAAAAGCGAAGCTGCGCTTCGCAAACATTATCGAGAACACGACAAAAAAAACAGCTCTAGGATTATAAAAAGTGCAATAAGAGAACGTAAATATAGGCGACGTTTCAGACTCGAACCTACGACCTACTTCGACCTGGCAAGTATGAGTCTCACGCACTAACCACTCAGCCACGGACGCTCAAATCATCATAAGCACTAGCCACAAATAAAGCCGAGAACAGATGCTATAAAAATTCCAATGCTACGGATCGTAATCAAATGTTTAGCGTTTATGTGAAAGCTTGATTTTCCATTTCACTATACATGATTACAAATGAAATTAGAAAATTCTTCTTTTTTTGCACTTTTTTAAAATCAATTTTGCCTAATTTCTGGTCTGGTAACGTTATTCTCAGCTGGTAAAATAAGTATCACTAAGTGCAATTTAAAAAAGGGAAAACCATGATATTAAATCACTGTCCAAATAGAGTGTTCAAATTTCAAAAACTGAAAACGCTAGTTGGTTGAAAAAACTATATTTTTTAAACTGTTAATGATAGAATCAATTTGAGAAAAAAGCTGTTTAAAACAAAAAAAAATAGTTGCCCACAATAAAAAAAAACAATCCAGCAGAAAGCAGACTTTTTAGTTTTCGTTATGCGATAAAACGAACGTACTCTTATAAGGTCGAAAGCCTTCTACAACTGACATTTCCGATGGAACTGAGCTTAATTGAGAATTCTGAATAAAATGGTATTGTCTAATTCCGCTAGGGTCTACAATTTTTTAAATTAATTCCATTTTGAAGTAATTTCTGCTGCGATATTTGAGTTTTTAATATTGGTGCGCTTTTTGTCTTCAGTTTAACAAACGAATCTGTCGATTGTTTAAACTGTTAATAATAGAATCAATTTGAGAAAAAGGTTGTTTAAAACAAAAAAAAATAGTTGCCCACAATAAAAAAAAACAATCCAGCAGAAAGCAGACTTTTTAGTTTTCGTTATGCAATAAAACGAACGTATTTTATAAGGTCGAAAGCCTTCTACAACTGACATTTCCAATGGAACTGAGCTTAATTGAGAATTCTGAATAAACTGATATTATGTAAGTCCGCTAGGGTCTACAATTTTTTAAATAAATTCCATTTGGAAGTAATTTCGGCTGCGATATTTGCGTTTTTAATGTTGGTGCGCTTTTTGTCTTCAGTTTAACAAACGAATGTGTCGAAAAATTGTCCTGAAGTCAGAACAAAACACGCGACTCATGGCACTTAACATTCAGTTTACTAACTCAATTTAAAAAAGGGTTCACATTTCAAAAGTTTTCACTTTCTTAATTCAGAAGCAGCAACTTAACTTGAACTCAAATTAACTAATCCCCATTAAACCTTCTTCGGTTGAAATTTTCAATAAAAAACGGGGCATTGAAATAAGAACAAATGATTCAGCTGAAGATAATTTTGTCTCATTATAATACATTCTACGAACTGTTTTTATAATAAGTAATTTTTTAACACAAGGGCCAAGCAGCACTTTTTAGCTCTTGCGACACAAAAATGCATGCCAGAAAATCTTCTGTATGATCTGTTTTTGACATATGCTCATTTGGTGGTACTTTTCAAAAATGGGAGCTTTTTATCAGAAATTTTCTTCAAGAAAAACACAAAAATTGCTGTGAGTATATGCAAAAGGAAACAAAGAAATTTTCGCTTTCTTGACTGAGTGAATTGAGTGATTTTTTAAATTGATTTCATCAAACAAAAAGGGAAATCAAATAACAGCAAAATAAAAATTAGCATGTTGAAAAGGTGTAAATCAAAAAAAAAATGCGCTGTGAAGTTAGGCCGGCATTAAAATAGGAGAATTCAAAATCATCAGCAGAAAATTAGTCTCAAAACTTTACACAGAAGCGAAGTTTAGCTTCGCACCACTTGCGATACAAAAAAAGAAACACGCTGTCGAAGAAAAAATCTTTAATGTCCAAAAAACTAGATCTATCTAAATGAATAAAGCTGGCTTTGAAACGTGCCAAAAAATTGAAATGTAAAATTAGCATCAAAAGAAAACTTACAAGCTACAATAAAGCTAAAAATGCTTTAGCAGAAACCCATTAAGCTGAAAAAAATTCAAAATTTGAAATTTTGTATTAATTCCCCCTCAACCTCATCACACACACACAAACAAAAACAAAGTTTATTTGTAGGTGAAATGAAACAATATGATGTTATTGAGCCGATATTATATAGGCCAAACATATTACGCCGAAAAAAAACAAACATGCAAAAAAATCAAGAAAATTTAAGACTAATAAAAAGTTATTTATCCCCCTGACCTCCAAGTACACATGAACAATCAATTTTTCTCTTTGAATGACGCAAAATAATTAAGCCGAAAAAAAGGGAAAAAAGCAAAAAAAAATAAACAATTCAAGACCAATAAACTGTTATTTTGTGCCCCTCACCTTCAAAACACATACACGCAAAAAAAATAATAATTAGAGGCCACTAAGTTGATAAGAAGTTCGAAATTTATCGAGACAAAAAAAAATTTAAAAATGAAGTTTTTACAAATCGATTTGGCAAAATTACAAACGTAAAAACAATCGAAAAGGACAGCTATTTAAAAAATTAGTATGCACTTAACCGGTGCATGGTAGCATTTTAGAAGCAGTAGTTTTGTTGCTAATAGGGGTAAAAAAGCCTAGTACCGATTGCAATACCCTTGCTTATCGCAAGGAAAACAATTTACATACACTAGTTTGAGTTCTAGATATACCATGCAGTAGTAACTAGTACCCCAGAATGCGGTAGAGATAAATGAGTTTTTATGAAATTGGGAATGTCAGCATCATGATTCGACTGATTTTGTTAAACTAGTGGTTAAACTGAAAAAGAAAGTATATAAATCGATTTGATACCGCTTGCTAATTGCAAGCACAGTCAATGATTATTTTTCACAATCTACTGGAAATTTTTCCCTTGGTTCAATCTTTGGGCCCTTTCCCCGGTGAAAAAATTAAACGAAGCCAACTGACAGTTGGAAAAGAGTAATGAACGGAAAAAAACCCTATTTTCGAAAAAAAATCTATTTTCGAACTATAAAGAAAAATTTTATGAACCCTAAAGTCCTTTGATTTCTACGAACAATTTATGAACAGTGCTTTTCTGATAAAAATTCTATCAAAAGGTAAAATTTTCCTTTCGCTCTGAAATCTGATATTTGAATTCCATCTTCAAAATAAGAAGCTCATCACATTTTTTGTGACCTTTACATTATTACTATTGATAGTAAAATTTGCTTTCTTTTTAAAGAAAAAAACTGAATTGACCTTTAAAAACTATAAAAACGAAAAACAAAACAACGAAAAATCAAAATTGGGCTTGAACAATTTTTAAAAATTTTTGCTGAAAAAAAATCACCAAGACCTATAAAGTACTCATTACCTTCATTACTTGTTCAGAATGAATTACGAGTAAACAATTTTTACCCATGAAAATAATAAAAAAACACTAGTAAGCGAGAAAAGGAAAAAGAAAATGGTTTATCCATCAGAACCGCTATCCCGAAAGATTTAAGCAACTTTGCTTAACTGGTTGTTAACCCTAAAACAATTATGTCTGAATTTAGCAAGTAGGGACTAATATTTCAGTTAATTTATTTTATGAACATAGACAATATAATTGAAACAGTGTTGAGCTCAAGGCAGAAAAATTTATTGACTTTCCAAAAACTTCAATTTTTGAGTGTTCGCCAAAAAACTTTTGCGTTTTGCAGAATTTGAATGATTGCATTTTTATCTAAACTGAAACAAAAAACTGATTTAAGAAACCTCGATCGATTGATAATTATCTAAATCCGCTGAAATTTCCGAAAATTACAAGGTAGTTTTGAAACACAGTGGGAAAGCGGAGCTTTGCACCACTTGCGTTACAAATTAAATTTAAAAAAAAAATTGTCGGAAAAAAAAGAAAAAAGTTAAAAAATAGATGAACCAAATTTTTGTGTGTGTCTCGATAAAAGACAACCAGGGACCCAGCTAAAGCTGGAAGTACGTGTTTAATAATTTTTGAAAATGTTATACTGCTGCTGGATGAATTGGGTAATTTCAAAAATTGGACTTTGTTCAAAATCTTCGTTATTCTCTACTAGAATAAATGAGAATGACCATTTTTGAGGCATATGAATTTTCCCAAGAAGGTAGCATTTCTCTTACAAAAAAAAGATTCCCCATTTCTGCAAGAGAAATTCTTGCATCCTGATCTTTCCATCGAAATTTTTATCTCAGATTTGATAGGGTAGTTTTTGAGAAAATTTAAAATATTTGCCAATAAACTGTAAAAAATTCCTTCTGATTTTTCTAAGATAAATTTGTCTATAAAAATTGGGCATAGAAAAGTATCAACAGAAGCGAAGTTGCAGTTTGCATATACAAGTAAAATAAATAACCGATAACTCTACTAGGAAAAACTGAATGAGTTAAACTTTGAGCCTATAATTTTTTTAAAGTGACGCACTCAATTATGACGCATTAGCAGTACCAGCAGATTTGGAGAACAAAAATTATTAAGTCTATGGAGCAGTCATAACTTAAAAAATTAAATGTAATGAAAAAAAAATGAAATTCTTTTTTCTTTAATTTGAGATTTGTTTTTTGTGAAAATCATCTCCCCACACGCCATACTTAAAACAAAGTGATCCATTTTGTTTCTAATAACAAATCAATTCTGGCAAATGAGCTTCCTTCAACCAATTTGGAACGATTTCTTTGACGGATTTAAGCTCCGCTTACGCGGTAATAGCGCAAAATATATCGCGCGATAATTGTCCCAAATTGGCCAAAATGGCAATTTTTAAACTCCGATAACTTTACAAAAAATGATCATAGGTAAAATATCTTTCCAAATTTAAGCTCAGGACAACAATATTTTTGTTGTGTAAAAAAATAGCGTCAAAAATAAGTAGTTAAAAAGTCGAAATTTGTCTGAAGAAAAAAAACAACCCGAGCACAAATATTCCGTTACTTTCGTTACGAAAGTCGGAACAATATTAGTCTGTGTTAAAATACTAAGCATTGGCTGTACTTAACAGTTGGTTATTGATCAAAATGAACACTTTTTAGCGCAACAAAACTCGTGTCGCAATCAAACGGCACAATATGAGACGACTATACCAAAATAAAAAAAAATCAGCATATCAAGCTACAAAATACCAAAAGAGAAGTTTACACAAAAGCGAAGTTGCACTTCGCCTACACCAGCAAAAATATGACCGATAACGCAACTGGGAAAAACTGAATGAGTAAAACTTTGAGACTACAAAATGTCTTAAGTGACGCACGCCAATTATGAGCCAACATAATTGCTAAGTGACGCAAGCCAATTATGACGCATTAGCTGTACCAGTCAATTTGAAAAAATAATTGCCATCTAACACGCCTCAATTTAAAGAATGGACGCATTTCAACTATTATACGAAAAATATCATTAAGAACATTCACCCTGCCCAGGTTCGACTTCTCTCATTTTGCTGCTGGTCTCCGTCCCTACCTCTACGCTACAGATCCACGATGTCTTGAAGCTAAAGTGCTATTTATAATATAAAAGACTGTTCTAATATCCTTAGCATTGGCTGTACTTAATAGCTGGATCAAAATGAACACTTTCAAAATGAACACATTATGTCGTAACAATTGCATCGCAACAAATTTTGCTACTTAGGTTAAAAAACGTTCATACTATAACACAAGCTATGCTTGTCTTAAGATAGATTTTCAATAACCTGTTGTTTCAAGAATCAGACTTGACAAGATAGTTATCGATAAAAGTCCAAAAAACGGTCAACAAATAGAAACTTTGACATTTCCGAGAATCAAAGCTTTGTTGTAAAAAAAGTTTGGGCGTAGCCACTTATGCAGAGATTCGCGCAAATTTTAATTTCGATTGAACCCAAAAACTAAGATTTGGGAGTGTAGTTCTCGAGAAAATTAAAAAAAAAATAGAGGACAAAAACGCTCAACAAATCAAAAATGTGAAGTAACATTATAGTTGTTTACAGCACAAAAGAAATCCGTGGCAACTAAGCCACTAATATGTGGCAATTAAGCCGACAAAACTTGAGCAGTAAAACAAAAATCCGACGAATCAATTTTAACCGGAAACTTTTTTAAAATTACATACTTACTGAGAAAACAGCAAGATCCGGCTTGGATTGCAACCCCGAACTTATGGTGGAAAAGCGACGGCGTTAGCTCAAGGCCAATTACGAAGGAACCTGGAAGTTAATTAGATTCGATAAAAAAAGTCAGTCAAAAATTTGTAAGTTCAACAACACCTATATAAGTGTCTTCACTACGTTGATTGACACTCGAAAATCTTTAAATGAGACAAACAGACAAAATAGTCAATTCACATATCTTTAAAACTAAATACTGAAAAGAAAGGAAAAACAGGTACGCCGAAGCGAAACATAGTTTTGTTTTATAGTTGATTTTTCATTATCTGTAGTTTTTCGACTAGGGGATAACTGCAGGATTCCATCATCACTAGTATCGAATTCTCAGCCGACAAACACTGGAATATGATCGAACAAGTTCTTCAATAGCCAAGCAGGTCGTTTAAATTCGTTTTCCCGTCTCCTTTTTGGTCTAAACAGGCATTTCTTTGAGAAAAAAAAGGATTGCCAAAAAAATGTTTCAGAACATCAGAGAGTTTAGGTGCCTCCTTTTCAAACATTCGGTCATAAAAAAGATCCTATTGATAGACTATTAAAAAAATTCAATGTTGTCCGGCCATCTTGATTTTTTTTCAAAAGGGAATAAAAAAACAGAATCCATTCTTGAGGACATACTTTTAGTTGTCACTCAGACCTAATGATTTGCTGTAACGTATACTACCTGAAGGCGGAACCCATCCAGAAAAATCATCTCCTTCCTCCAAAGCTTCTTCTTTTTCACGCTTCTTTGGTTTTGAAATCAACTCTTTACTCCGGATCTCATTTACATTATGCTGTCTCGGTTCATTCGTTTTATCTGTTCGACTTTTTGATTCAGCTGATATGCCATTAGAATGATCTGACTTCTCCCGTTTTTCTGACAAGTTTTTCAAAATATTAGCAGTCGTTGAGGCACTTGTGGAGTCTACATTAGAATTTTCTTGTGTTTTAAAAGCAGAACTGGTTGCTTTTGACTTGGCGGCATTTGATGTTAAGGTGATCGCAACTTTGGATTGGTCAGGCTGTGTTGTGATTCCAGGTTTCTCTGCGGTACTTTTCGATGTCGTTTTGATATTGGATTCTGTTGCATTTTGTAATTTCGTTGTTGTTGTTGTTGTTGATGATTCATCTTCGTCCTCTTCGTATTCAACGCCATCTTCGCCTTCCTAAAATTCGCTACAAATTACTTTCATCGTATTTGAAAAGTGCGAAAGAGTAGATTATCTTATCTTTGCAAAATTCAGAGTGAATTCGAACTTCAGTTTAGTAACTACTTGTTAATTTTTCAACTTAAGAGCATTAAAAATTTGAACCATGTGGAGGGATTATGGCCCCGTGAAATCTTATTTAAAAACATACCTTTACAACGCATGATTCGTCAGCATTAATCGCATTTTTTCTCGCTCCAGCTAACAACGGGTTGGCTTCAGAGTTATTTTCTTGACTATTGCCGAAAGGGTTTGTATTAACTGACATCTTTTTAGCGGGCAATGAAAACCCAAATCTTGAAGTTGCACGTAAGTATTTATTCTTCTGGGATGCACCAGTTGTATTGTTCCTTAATTTAATATCGGCTGGCTCCGCCGCTTTTTTCATCTTTTCAATCTTAGCTATTTCTTTTTTCAACTCAATCGTTCTCATTTTCATTTTTCTTCTGGTCGTCGCATCAATTTCCTCGCCGCTTTTCATTCCTTGCATGTATTCGTCCAGGGTATCCAACGACGTCATTTTAGCCACATGTGATTGACTACTTTTGATTCGCTGTTCCAGCTTCGAAAGCTCTTCTTGAGCTGCCAACAAATCTGCAGTCTAAACAACAGAACACGGATTTAAATTGAAAAAAGGTTAAAAAAAACAAAAAAAACGTGACATTTTTCACAAGAAGCACAACCCAACTACTCAACGTGAACACTAAGACACATAAATCAACAACATAGATCCCCTTTGTTCCTATGAGAAGTGTCTCAAATTGTCAGTTCATTTAAGAATTCGACGCGCGTTTACTTAGTAAACTGACCAGTGACTCATCAGTGTGCACTTTGTTATGTCCCTCCCCCTCGCCCTCCTCTGCCCCCAGTCTCTCCATCCTCCTCTTCCTCTTCGCCTCCACACTCCCAGTCCTGTCCAAATACGTGTCATCATCGCTGTCGTAGAAGTCATTCTCGGCCCAATTACGCTTCTTCACCTATTAGAACAGCCATTGTATTTTTCCAGAACTTCAACATAAGAGTTTTATTTTAAACTGTTTAGGTCAATTTATAAGGAATTCAACTCAAAGATTATTATATTGAGTTATTTCAAATATTACTACATAGTACCGAGTAAAAGATCCGATAAACTTCTAGGATCATCAAACTTTTTTTTAAGGTTCCCTGCATTTTTGGCGCTATCAACATTATATAACCAAAATCAAGGATATGCGCAACCTCTATCGGTTGGTCTCCAAGTTTGCTTCTGGGAATTATATTTTTGCTTGTTTTTGTATTTTTTTCCTCAAAAATTTTATATCGTTGATTTTTATCAAGTTTTACCTCGTGTCGTTCGTGTGAGGATGCCCTGAGGATTCCATGTGCGTCTAGAATGCGACATGCCTCCAGTGCACACTGTACCTGGACGTCTCTTCGCTTACCCTTGTTCACCACTTCTGCGAACACTGGCCGCCCATCCTCTGAATCCACCATTGGAAGTCTAAACGAAACTACTTTGCCACTGAAACCCACACTAACAAATGATGAACATAGCCAACAGACAGTAGGAAAAGAGTCATGAACGCAAGAAAACCGATCAAAAATTGACTGGTTAATGAAAAAGCTTCAAATTTCCAATTTGAAAGAAAAAAATATACATGGCATTAGGGCTCTTTTGAATTTCGAAGATAATTTATGATTGACACTTTTTTGATAAAATGACCCATTTTGAGAAAACTGGATCAAATAGGTAAATTTTTTTTTATTTCGCTGGGAAATCTGAAAACTAAACTCCACTTTCGAAACTAAAAGTCGATCACATTTTCGTGACCTCTACACTTTTGCTGTTCGATAGTGGAGCTCGCCTTGCTTTTAACAAAGGAAATGAACTGAACTTCAAAAGAAATCAGAAGTCAAACAGCGAAAAAGTGGATTTGAATCTGAACGAATTTCAAAGGTTTTTCCTGAAAAAGAACGGAAAAAAATCATCGCGACTTATATAAGAAACGGAACTATGAGCTACGTTTATGGCTCTGAAACACTTCCTCTCGTTCAGTATGCTCAAAGAGCTACAACCATTCGAAATTAAAAAAAAAAACCCGCCGCAAGAAAGGCTCAAGCTAAAAGAGTCAAAATCCATACTTACTCTATTTTGCAAATGTGTGTACCGAACTGTTCCTCCTCGCAGATGTACTCTAATTCAAACCCCTCCCTTTCAAAACAACCCTTCAATGTCTTCTTCGGGTCTTCCAAGTTCAACTCCTCAGGAACTGAGAAGGGATTGACAGCTTTAGGATTTTCGTCGTCATCTTCATCCTAAAATTAAACTTCTTGAAAAGTTATTTTTGAATCTTTACAAGCATTATATCTGTATGTGCGAAATTATATTTTTTGCGCTTAATTTTTTCTTTCCTGATAACACATTTCAAAAACTTCAATTTCACCAAGTCTGCACTGCTTTTTTCTCAAATTGGGTTGACGGAAGACAAAAAAACAGTAAAAAGGTTCCTTAAAACTCACCAGAACTAATCTGAGGCAATTTATTGAAATTCGAACCCAAAACTTGACTGGGTAATTTTGGGCTCCTTTTAGTCAATAAAACTTAACCTTAAACTATCGAGTCAACCGATGGCAAAAATAGATCAAAATGAGGCTCCTATGTAGCCCAAAAAAGTTAGAAAGGATGGTATGATCACCAAACTTTGGTCAAAACGTTTCAAAAGTTTTTAAATGAAAAAATTGGTATTGAAAAATTAGAAGACTACCCTTCTTTAAAAATTTTGGGCTACATACGAGGCTCACTTTGATCGAATTTGCTCAGCAATTGACTCAGAGTAGTTTTCGATTCACTAAAAGGAGCCAAAAATTACCCATTTTTGGCGTAAGAGTTTGGGTCCAAATTGCGCAAAATAAAATGCACGATATTAAATCGGCTAAAACTTAAGTATACTTTTTTCTGATCTCTTTTGTCTACAATCAACTGAACTAAAGAAAAACCATTAGAAAACTTAGTTCAATCCATTTTTTTGAACTTCTGTTCCGACTTTCGAAGAAAACGTAATATTTATGATTGGGATGGTTTTTTGTTCCGTCAATTTTCGGCGATCAAAATAATTTTTAACAAAAAAAATTATACTCCATTGAAGATATCGACTTCTTGGAATCAAATGTAAAAAGATATTTTACCTCCGATCGTTTTTTGCAAAGTTCTGGGAGTTTGAAGATTGCCAACTGGGCCATACTCTGGACTAATTTGTGCGCGCTTTGAAAAGTTTATTCATAATGCTGAAAGCGTAACGCAAATTATGTATGCGTGGCGAACTATCCCGCACAACAAAATCGGTCCAGATTTACTTGAGGCTAGCTTATCGGTTGTATTAATTTCGTACGACTCAAATTTTCACACTTGAGTTTTAATTTTGTCCAAAATTTATAGTTTTTCAGTATTTTCTTTTCATAAAAAATCATTCGACATGGATTAAGGGACAGTCGGAACATTCAGGGCTTTGCCCTGATATACGAGCAGTCTTGTCAAGGTTTAATATCAAAAACTGCATTCGAATTTCAGCATGCCTTGAGCTCATCATTGGAAAATTCAATTTAACCGATCATGTGACTACAGGTCACCATTATAGCTATCAACTGGATACTGATAAGCCATCTTGAGTCACGAGATTATATTGGAGTTTAAATTAAGTTCATTGAAACTCAAACGTTGTTGAAATACAATGTTGGGATTGTTGAAATTAAAAGCCAGGACAAAGAAAATTTTATTTCTCTGAACAAAAAATGTCAGCTTTTCTCAAGAGTTACTATAAAACACTTAATATGACTTAATACTTAATGCCATATTCATCAATCAAATACTATTGATATGCAAAAGGTACCAACAGACTGTTCGGCGTCCTCCTTGAAACCCCAGCTGATCCCACTCTCCTTCTCCTTCTCAATCTGCTTCTTTCTCTCCTCTATCAACTCCTGCTGCCTCCTCTTCATCTCCGCATTTCTCTGCTTGATCTCCGTGATAGAGTAGGGACTGGCTGCAGGAGTGTCACTGTCCGGGCCCTGGAACGAGGAGAGAAACCAAAGCAAATTACTGTGAGAGATATTTAACTGTTGAGTGAAAACGGTTCAATGAAATGATCATGAAGTATGTTATTTCAATATTTGCTTTTCAAGGCAAGAAAAAAGTATATTTAAAAAACAGAGCTATTTGCTTTGCAGTTATCTGGATTTCGATCACGCTTTGCCCCCAGAAAAAACTGAACACTTTTTTAATCATCAACTGGCGAATTAAGATGATTGAAACAAAACAAAACAAACATTTTTACACTGAGCAGTCATATTTGAAAAAAGCTAAGCGCCTAGTATGCTAAGTGATAATGATCGCTCAAAAATACTAAGAAAAACTTAAGAAAATCATCAGTAAACTTACGTGAACAATAAACAGCCTCGTACTGTTTCCAAACTTGATCACATGGCCAACTTTCACTCTGCTGTAACAGTTGGCTTCAATTCTTTGCTTGTTCAGGAATGTACCATGAGTACTTCCGCAATCATACAAATACAATCCAGGCTCCTCGTCCCCTGATTCTCCCAGGGTAGGTCGCATCTGGAACACGGCATGTACCCTGGATATCGATGGGTGTTCCAGTACTATATCTACATGTTTAGATCTCCCAATTGATGCCATCGGTTTGTCTAGCCAAAACTTCTCGATTACCACGCCGTTTTTGATAGTTTCGACCCAGTAGTCTTCGGCTAAAAGGCCACTCCATAAGGGTTCCCTGTATGTAACTGAAGACACGTTCGACTCTTTGAGTAGTTCTGCTGGGCTCATTCTGCTAAGAGCACGAGATTTCAAATCCGAAAGTGAAAAAACTACATTCACAGACTTGGTTTTCTCTTCAGCCTGCTTAGCGTCTGGTTTATTTTCAAGGACATCTTTACAAGGCACCAAATTAGCTTCTGTTGACGTTATCGTTGGAACTGGAAGAACTGGCACTTTGAAATTATCTTCTGTTGTATTTGGGATATCATCCAAATCTGTTTGTTTCTCACTTCCATTCAGCTTTGTTCCCGACTCAGAATGAGGGTGTTCAACACAATTATCTTCCATTTTCAAAATCTAGAAACGAGAAACTTTCGGTAATTTTTGTCAAAAATCATGAAACTGATTGAATATAGCTTGCAAAAATGAAGCGCAGTGATGCCACATTTTAATGCTTAAGTCATACAAGGCAACTGCCATATGCAATATTTGAGCCAGGGAAAAGTAATTCGTAACAGAAAACAATTAGTTGACCGCCCATTTATGCATCTTGCGTTCTGAATTATTGTTTGAGTTCTCGGCCAGATTGGTCGCTCTCAAGACTAATCTGTGGCTTTCTCAATAATTTTTTTTTGGATGTCAGCCCAGACTCACATTCAGAATGCAAAGCATGGAAACATCCCAAAGGTAACAAAAAAACCTAACAGAAATATCAAGATGCTCTGCAATCAGCATGTAGAACAAAAATTGTTGACCATAGACATGTTTGCACAAAATGAGAAAAACGAGGAGCTAACGAAACATTTTAATTTGTGATTGACGGGGAGGGGACTGAAAAAAGCTATAAGAACATGGGCGGATTTATGGGAGGGGGGAGAGGAAAGACGCCCCCTCCCTCAGAGATTTGACCCCCTGCCGACCCAAAAGGTCCCCCCTTTGTACTATCTAGAGATATTCATTTTTGGCGACGGACCCTAAAAAATTTCTAAAGGCGCCTACTAATTTTGAGGGGGAGCGCGAGCCGAAATAACGCAAATAACTCTGTTTTTGGCCAACATTTTCAAAAAGTGCCTAAAATGCTATTTAAGGCCTGTTTTTTCAAAATTTTGACTGCCAAAATATTCAAAACGTGCCTAAAAATGCTTTTTAAGGCCATGTTTTTTCAAAATTTAGACTGCGGCGCAGATATCTCGGCCAAAACAGAGTCTTTTTAGTGCTTTGGGAGGGACATTTTTTGAAACCCCCCTCCCTCGAAAAATTCTAGATATGCCCCTGAATTCAATTCCCCTCAAGAATAACAGAGCTTCAATATATACAACACTGATATCCAGTTATGTATTTTCTGCAAGAGCCAATTTTCCAATTATTGTGCAATCTACACGATTCAAGTTATCGTACAAAAATTAGACTTTTTTCAATTTTATGAGTACTGATTATCCCTATGCTTAAGAAAAATTAACATGATAAACTTTTTTCGTAAAATATTAGCTACGCTAAGTTTCTTATTGGGAATCTTTGCCTAAGCTCTGATTGATGATTACAAAACAGCGGAAACAAACTGCCTCTTGACAAACTGTTTATCAAGGAGTCGAGACAAAACGTTTACTCAAAAACAACAATTAAAAGTATGAACTGAAGAACAAAACAATATGATTTTGATCTCTCTCAACTCATCGATAGATGAATAATTTTTTACTGTTCGAGAAACTTGGTCATCTGTGTTATTTGTGCCGTGAGAGTCTTCTGCATCGATTCTATTTCTTGGATCATCCCGTCGAACTGATCTTTCCACTCCTGTAAAAATAACAAAGAGAAGATCTTTATTAACTGTAAGTGCTTAATGAGTCATAATAACAATTTTAAGTCAAGAAATCTTGATACATAAATTTTGAATGTAACAATTTTTTTACTAATGTAGACAATTTTTCAACTTTTTGCAGATAACACTAATACTCCCCTCGTTTGCAATCGCGAAAATGATATACTGGGAACAAACAGTTGACACTGCTGAATTGTTAATTCAAAAAATCTAATGTGAGAGGATACTATGACCGGGTTCGACTCTATACCACGAATTCAGAATCTCAAAGACGTTTTGGTAATCATTCAAGTAAAATATGATTTTTGAGAAAAACATTTGCATTTGCATTTCTATTTGAGACTAGACTTGGACTGAATCATTTCAGAATTTTAACGTGTTTATTACGAGATAAAATTTCTGAAACAGAGTTTTTACACAGAGGTGAAGCTGTGCTTCGCAAACACTTGCGAGAACACGACCAAAAAGCAGCTATCAAGTGACAAAAGAAAAAAATAAATACGCCTCGATTTTGCAAAAACTCGAGGCTTAGCAAAAACTCGAATTAGCAAAAATCTGCGACCTAGCAAATTTGAGTCTCACGCACTAACCATTCAGCCACGGATGCTTAAAATCCCCAAAAACTATCCACCAATAATGCAGCTACATATGCTAATAAATTGCTAATTCGATGCAGCAAAAGTAGCATCAAACACAAAAAAAAATAAAATTTAGCATGTAAAAAAATCGCAAATGATAAAGCCACATTATGGATAAATTAAGCATTTCAAAAAAATTACGAGATATATTGAGTAAGAAAATTTCGGAAATCGAGATTTTAGTAGTGTTCCGACTTGCGTAACGAAATTAGCGGAATATGTGCTCGGGGTGGGTTTTTTTTCTTCAGACAAATTTCGACTTTTTAACTAGCCACTTTTGACTGAATTTTTTAGAATCATTCGAAAGGTATTGTTGTCTTAAGTTTAAAATTGAAAAGATATTTTACCTGTGATCATTTTTCGCAAAGTGATAGGGGTTTAAAGATTGCCAATTCGGGACAATTAACGCGAGATAAATTAAGCGCTCTTAACGCGTAAGCGGAGATTTAATCCGTCTTAGAAATCGTTCCAAATTGGTTAAAAGAAGCTTAGTTGTCAAATTGATTTGTTAATGGGAGCGAAACCTATCACTTTGTACTTCATATGGCGTGTGGGGTGATGATTTTCACAAAAATCTCAATTTTTATAAGAAAAATTCATTTCATTTTATTACATATAATTTGTTTCTCTATGGACCTTAAAATGCAGTCGGAACAATCAGGGCTTCGCCCTGATACGAGCAGTCTTGTTATGTTGTTTGAAACAAAAAGCTGCCTTCGGTTCACTTGATGAATTAAAAATGCATCAACTGAGTAAATTTATAACTTCGTACGTCAAAGCACATAATATCAATAAGCTGAACAAAGGTGCAACAAAATATCTTCTTGCCAATTCAAAGGTGCAACTGAATTTCAAAGGTGCAACAAAATATCTCTTGCCAATTCAATGCAGCGAATTCGATGCAGCAAATATTATTACTTTCAGTCGTAACAATGATTAAGATGACGCTAGTGTAAATAGGCCGAATTTTATTAAAACGAAAAAAAGGAAAAGAACAAAAAACATGAAATTTTAACAAAATTTTTTTCCAACAGGACAGATATTGAAAATCCCAACAAGCACAAAATATATCTCAAGTGGTAAATGACCTTTTCATCTGGACTCATTTCCATGAAGCATCCTAGCAACTAATTTACCACTAGAGATATATTTTGTGCTTGTAGGGATTTTCATGTGGCATGAAAACTTATGCGTCCTTGGGACTCATGCGGCCTTCAAGGAAATTAGTCCTGTGAACAAAGTAAAAAGTCTAGTACCCGATTGCAATACCATTGCTTATCGCAAGGGTAAAAAGCAACTGATATGAAAACTGTGTACATAAAAAAATGTCTACATGGCAACTAAGCCGACAAAACATAAGAAGACAAGTAATAAGCCGACAATTTTTTTGAAACGGAATATTTCCTGTTTGAAAAAAAAAAAACAGGTCCTAGTCAGACTCCAACACAGGATCTTTGCCGTCTCAGTCATATTAGTTACCTCCAAACCAAATTATGAAACCACTTCAGCTGGTGTCATACTTAAAAAGCTACCGAGTATTTATGTCAGTTTCAGAAAATTTTTACGTGAATAGTAAATGTAAAAGATTGAAAAATAGTAGATACTCCGGATTCGCAAAAGCAGACAACCCCATCGAATCGAAAGCAGGCAACCCAAGTCTCGCGTGTTTGAAGCTCGGATCATCTAAGCTTCAATTATACGCCTTACTGGTTGAGACCGCGGATCTTGAACTATTGTTCCGACGACCGCAAGGCACCGCTGAGCTCGAACTCAAAAACTGCGCTTTTTAGACACCCTTTTATTTTTTTGTGATTTTGTAAAATTCTTTGTCCTTGAAAAATTTACAACTCTCCTGCGGCACATGGTGGTGTAGAATGTGGGATTGAAATCGCATTTAGTTTTGACTATAAATGGGTTCTGTTACTACTAACCGCGTACGTTTGCTTCTCCTTGACCCTTCCATGGCCCATTAGCACTGTGAACTGCTCAGAATAGGCCACATAATCTGTATCCGACAATAAAGCTTCAGCATACTTCACATCAGCCTGCATTTTGTCATTAATCGAGTTGAAAACTGTCTCAAGCGTCTTTTTGAAATACCCTGAGCAAGTTACATCTACACGTTAAAATAATCACAACAAAAAAGTCCTTGAGTTATTTTTACTTGAAATAAAACATGAAATCTTACTCAATTTGAAAGACTTCGAATCGCTTCTAACAGCCTGAGCCAGTTCTTGGATAGATTTTCGAAGCTTGCTGTCAATGTTTGCATAAAATTGGTCAATTTCTTGAATCCTATTGCTATTAATCGCACTGTTGTCTTGATTGTTTTCATCAGAGGTGGCATCACTTATTCCATCGAAACATTCTTTCGGCATTTTGACTAGATTTAATTTATGAACTTAAAATGCTTGAATAGTAGGTGCCGTAGAATAAGCGGCAGTTACTGAAAAGTTACTACAAATCAAAACCAGTGAATATAATCAGGAGCTTGAAGAATCATATGCGAAGAATCGCTCAAACATTTGAAATTTGGCTGCGATTTCTTTTAAAAAAACTGGGCAAATATTTCGTTCATAACTACTTTTGGACTAGATCTAATCAAAACAGATAATTCCTGTAAACTTTTATTTGTACAAATCTAATTATGACAATGCATTTCGTTATCAAGTGCTTAAAAACAGACTCAGTTTAAACATTATTCAATGACTCGCAACTTCTACACATTGAAGATGTACGATTTGACTTCATTGGCCAATGAGCCTCGCGACTCGAATGGTCTCACTTCTTGCGTGTTCACTGCCCCCATGAGGTTGTGGGGCCACCTTCGGCTGAAGTAGTGCGACTCCCCCACCACCCAGCTGGGGTCGTCTTTCATCAAGTCAGCCTCCACTTCTCTCGCCTCTCGCATGTCCCTCAGTTGTCGTCTGCCGTTCTCGGCCATGAGCAGCGCGTGAACCGCCTGAAGTACAAACACCCTTCTGAATGTTGATTTCTACTGTACTTGTTCGCCACTTAAGGTTTCTGTGATTATTCACATTTACCCGATTGAAAACCAAGATTCAAACCTACTAAAATCATATGAAAAAAAAGATAGCTGATTGCTGCGCAATTAGCCCAGAATCTTCGGACCACAAAGTATTTCAAAAAATGTCGTTGAATTTTTTTTATCGGCTGTTAAATTAAGCAACAACACAAGAATTAGGTAAAAATCAACACTTAGTTCAGTGTAATCATATTTTCTGAATTTGGTAAGACCAATGGTTTTCGACACAATTGCTTTGATTTTTTTTTGTCATCCGAAACACGAATACAAGGGTTAATATGATACCACATTTGACCACCTATGAGCTGTTTATGAAGCAGTGAAAATTCTTCGGACAAAAAACCTTCCTAAAGTGGTCGGAACAAAAATAAACTTTCTGAAGAACTCTTTTTAAACTCTTTTACCTTTAAACTCTTTTACCTTTAAGATAATGTTCGGTTTCAAAACTTAGGTAGGAAAACGAGGTAAAAAATTTTTCAACAAATAATTGTTCAAAAACTAGATTTTGTTCCCACGACTTCCTTAAATAGTATCTAGCTAAAAAGTTGCGGCATCATTTGGCAAAAAATTGTTATGAAACAAATTTTGGAGACTTTTCCTCGCGACAAAATTGTTAACCAGTACATCTTTCTAAATAATATGATCAGACCACTTATGCATTTCATGAAGCGACCTAAAAATTTTCAAAATCTTTTTTAACACGCTACACACACATGCTTGAACAAAAAATGACAAAGAGCAGAATGTATTAATTGAAAGAAATAGAATATTTGATACAAAAAATTTATAAAATAAACCCGTTTCTTGTTAGCAATCATATGACAAGTTTGACCTTAACCATCGCTCCACCTCTTCTGTTTTCATGTTTTTCCTCGCTGCATAATCCTCGGTTTGATCTTTGGCAATTTTTCCAACTGAAAAATACTCGCTTTGAGGGTGTGCCAAAATGAGCGCGCAAACAGAAGCTGCGGGATTCATAGCCAGGGATTCCGTCAAAGTGATTCCTGTCTTTTCCTCAACTTGCATTACCCTCCACATCGTTATTTTCTCTGTGTGGTCCGGTTGTGTCGGGTATCCAGGGGCTGGTCTGATTCCAGAGTACTTGACCTTCAACAAATCTTCGCATGCCAAGTTTTCATCCAGAGAGTATCCCCAGAAATCTCTCCTCACTCTAACATGTAGGTACTCAGCGAACGCTTCCGCAAGACGATCTGCAATAATTTTGATCATGATTGAACTGTAGTCATCACCGTCGTTTTTAAAATTTTCTGAAATTTCCTCGGCACCCTCGCCTGCTGATACGGCCATGAAACCCACGTAATCTTTCAGTCCTTTGGGAGCGACAAAATCTGAGAGGCAATAGTAATTATCCGAGGCACTTGGTTTTTCGCCTTGCTGCCTCAAACCATATAATGTGCAGAGTTCTTCTGATCTACTTTCGTTGGAAAATAACGTTATATCGTCTTCGCAGCTCGAGCTTTTATTTGCAGGATAGAAACCGACAATTCCTCTTAGCTTGAGCCAGTTTTTAGCAACAATCTTGTTCAGCATATTTCTTCCGTCTTTGTAAATCCTTTTCGCCTCTTCTCCAACTTCTTTATCGTCAAAAATTTTGGGGTAATGACGGTTTGGATATTTTCCACGCAGCTGCCAGATATCGAAAAAAGGCTTCCAGTCAATGTACGGAATCACCGTTTCTACTGGAATGTCGTTTAGCGCCCTCGTGCCCAAAAAAGAGGGAGCGCAAACTGGCGGCTCAGCTGCCCAGTCAATCGCGGGAGCTTTTGATCTTGCCGCTGATATCGTAAGGTATTTTCGGTCGCGAAGGGTCTCGTAATATTCATCTCGGATTTCCTCATACTCCTCGACAATGTCTTCTACAAAATCTTCTCGTTGTTTATCACTCAACAGACTTGAACAAACAACGACCGATTTCGAGGCATCCAATACATGAATAACGGGCTGTGAATACGCAGGGTCAATTTTAACTGCCGTATGTTTTTTTGACGTTGTAGCTCCTCCGATCAGCAGCGGTACTTTGATTCCGTTCCTTTCCATTTCTTTAGCAACGTGAATCATTTCGTCTAACGAAGGCGTGATTAAACCCGAGAGACCCACAACATCAGCTTTATTTTCAATTGCGCTCTGAAGAATCTTTTCACACGAGCACATGACGCCAAGGTCAATGACGTTGTAATTATTACAACCAAGAACAACGGCTACGATATTCTTACCAATATCATGTACGTCTCCCTTCACAGTTGCAATGACAAAGGTTCCCGCATTTGAAGCTTCATTTTCAGAGCCCACAGCTCCTGCCAAACGCCTCGCTTCTTTTTCCGCTTCCATAAATGGAATCAAATGAGCCACTGCTTTCTTCATGACCCTCGCACTTTTAATGACCTGGGGCAAAAACATTTTGCCAGCTCCAAACAGTTCTCCAACCGTGCTCATTCCGTTCATGAGGGGACCCTCAATTATATTCAGAGGTCTAGGGTACTTTTCATTACACTGTCTTGCTTCTTCAGTGTCCTCGGTAACGAACTTGTCAATTCCTTTTACAAGCGCATACTCCAAACGATGCTCCACTGTTTCCGACCTCCATACATCCGCAACTTCGTCTTTCTTTCCGCTTTTTCCATACAACCTGGCAAAATCCAGCAACTTCTCAGTTCCCTCTGGATCTTTATTCAAAATCACATTTTCGGCTAATTTCAGCAAATCTTTGTCGATGTCATCATAAACAGGCAAGTTACCAGCATTAACAATTCCCATATCCATTCCCGCTTTGATAGCATAGAACAAAAACACACTGTGCATAGCTTCTCTGATTCTTTCCATGCCTCGAAACGAAAACGAGAGATTTGACAACCCTCCGCTGATTTTACAATGCGGCAACGTTGCTTTGATAATCTGACAAGCCTCGATAAAATCGACAGCGTAGTTATTATGTTCTTCCATCCCAGTCGCTATTGTGAGAATATTCGGATCAAAAATTATGTCTCGAGGATCGAATCCCAGTCTCTCCGTTAGGATTTTGTATGATCGAGCACATATTTCAACTTTTCTGTCTCGATCGGCCGCTTGACCGTCTTCGTCGAAAGCCATGACGACAACAGCGGCCCCGTGGTTCTTGATGATTCTCGCCTGTTTCACAAACAATTCCTCGCCGACTTTCAAAGAAATACTATTTACAATACATTTACCTTGTGTACATTTCAAACCTGCTTCCACCACTTCGAATTTCGATGAGTCAATACAAAGAGGCACTTTTGATATCTCCGGTTCTGAAGCGATCAGGTTGCAGAACTTCTGCATTGCAGCAATTCCATCCAACATTCCTTCGTCCATGTTTATATCTAATACTTGGGCTCCGTTCTCCACTTGAACTTTTGCTATCGTTAGTGCTTCCTCGTAATTATCATCGACTATCAATTTTGCAAACTTTCTTGAACCCGCAACGTTACACCTTTCGCCAATGTTCACAAACATACTTTCCGGTCCGATTGCTCTCGGCTCTAAGCCCGACAACAGCATGTTAGAATCGGTTCTAGGAGGCGGTGGAACTCGAGGTTTGATAGGGCGTACCGCTTCTACGACCGCTCTGATATGATCCGGCGTTGATCCACAACAACCTCCAATGATGTTCACCAAACCATCTTTAGCAAATGAATAAGCATGCTTCGCGAATATTTCCGGCGTTTCATCATACCCTCCCATTGCGTTTGGTAGACCAGCATTTGGATAACAGATCACAAACTTTGATGTATTTTTGCCGATAGCTTCAATAAAAGGTCTCATTTCAGTAGCTCCCAAAGCGCAATTTAGACCAACACACATTGGATTAGAATGTACAACACTGATCAGAAAAGCTTCTCCAGTTTGACCGGAAAGCGTCCTGCCACTCCTGTCGACAATAGTTCCGCTTATGAAGATTGGAACCGGTTCGTACTCTTCGAAAAAGAGATTCTGAATTGCATACAAAGCTGCTCTTGCATTTGCAGTGTCAAAAATTGTCTCGACCATCAAAATATCCGCCCCTCCGTCTAATAAACCTCTCGCTTGTTCTCCATAGGCGTCGACTAACTCATCAAAGGTAATGTTTCTGAGCTCGGGCTTCTCAACCGAGGGTGAAATTGATAGCGTTCTGTTAGTGGGTCCCAAAGCGCCACAAACAAATCTTGGTTGCCCATCAATTGCTGTTATGTCATTTTTCGCTTTGCATGCTAACTCTGCAGCGGCTCTATTCATGTCATAAACCACGTGTTCCAGTCCATAATCAGCCTGAGCAACCCAAGTGCCGCTGAAGGTATTTGTTGACACCATGTCAGCACCTGCTTCGAAGTATTGACGATGGATATCATAAATGATGTCAGGTCGAGTCATTGTCAGAATATCGTTATTCCCTTTCAGGGGTTTTTCGTGCTTGGCAAACTGCGTGCCTCTGAAATCATTTTCTTCCAAGATGTGTTTTTGAATCATAGTTCCCATAGCACCATCGCAAACCATGACACGTTCACGCATCGTACGTTCGAGAACGTCGAAAATATTTCCAGTCGAATTTCCATTAGTGTAGCCATTCGTGGCAACACACTCTCGAGGTGACATGATTTCCTTTTTTGTTTTCAGTTAGACAACTTTAACCCAGCATTATAGAGTAATGAACGATAGAGTTTGATTACAGCCTGAAGCCAAGTCAGATACGAACAATTATTTGATCTAAAAAAATCAAAAGTGTTTCTGATTATGATTTATTACACTTTGTTTATGAAGAGAACATGTAAACGCAAAACAGAATTTTCGGTGGTGGTATTATCAGCAAGTGTAGTGTGACTTGGTATTAAGGGCCAAACTGATATAGTGATATGAAGAAAGCGAATGCTGATAGTATTGCTGTTCTTGTTTTTCCACTCAAGTTACAATTGTCCTTGTGGTTTGTACCGCCAATATTAGATTGGGTTAGACTAAATATTTAATGGCCCCTAACAGTGGAAAGTGCCATTAAATGTGAACGAATTAGAGACCATATTTCCCCGTATTTGCTACAGAGTGACGCTGCGTGCATATGTATACTCAAGGGTGAACGACATTTTCACGATACACGTTCACATATATCAGAATCACCACTGGGATTAATTTTAATCAATCAAATCAATATTTACCAACAAAATTACATTTAAAACTAGTACATCATGTAAAATATTAAAATCAAACATACTTTTATCAGAGGGGAGTTCGGATTAAAGTAAGCCAACATTGATGACTGGCGCCATTTAGAGAGCTAGTTCTAATTTGGATACTAAATATTTCTAGGCATTCATCCGTGAGTTGACCGATTGGCTACAAAAGTAAGCTTTTGATGAACCCAGTGAAGTGGTGATAATCAGTTCACGTCTGAAGGTGAAACGAACTTTAACAATCTCGACGAAAACTTAAGGTCGCCCTTTGTCAATTGCAAATTCGGAGATTAGTTATAAGGGCTAAATGTTTTCAGGCTTAACTATTACACTAGTACTAATTAGGGTTGCTTCTTTACTGAGTTTGATGAAGGTTAACTAGGTTCAGAAGTTCACATAAAATGACTTGAATTTTGGGGAAGTCATGAAACAGGTACTAATGCAACTGCAATCAGAAATCCCCGAAATAGAAAAACTGCTTCCTGTTTACCGTCCTATCGCTACAAAGAAGTGACTCAATTCCTGGTCATTAAAACCACGTACAAGTCAGTGAATATTTAGTCGCCGAATTGTTGCAAAGAAGCTGAATACAGATTACTTAAGTTAAATTCGAAGAATGGGGAAATTTTTAATTGCAAGATGGAAACGCACTGCGATAGAAAAACAAAAAACGCCCGATTGTTCTCGAAAATTTAGACTACAATTGTCATTTTTCATTACCTTGTAGACAGAAAGAATAAGGCAACAGTAATTTCTAAAGCGACACGGGCACATTATTCATTTAAAAGACGTAACATTCATCTGTCCTTGACATTCTTGGATTCTTAGTTGGAGCAGTAGAAGTTCAATGGTTCCTTTCGAGAGTGCACATTGCCGAATAAATTAGCTGATTTGTAAATTCAGCGAATTAACATCAAAAGCGCGAGCTCTTGATTGGAACAAAACCGGGTTCATTCGAAGAGAAAAAATGAATATCAAATTTATCTTATTGGAATGAACATTTATGAAATATTATGCTTTTTTTGAAGAAAGATGAAGTATTATGCTTTATTTGACTAACATGATGAACTTCGAATTCCTCCCGCTGATACTCCTTGTACATCTGGAACTGTCTCATTAGATGGTAGTTGCCCCAGGCAGTCAACCCCACCGTCACTGCCAGCGCCTTCCAGCCCCACCCTGCTTTGGCCCACTTGCCCAGGTTGCGAGACCAGCGGAACACCGGGTAGCCGCCAACCGGAGGCATTTCCTGCTTCGAAGCTGACGACATCAGTACTAAGGGCCGTGAAGGTCTATCTCATTAATTCACCTATCAGAACTACCTGAAAGAATACACCATAATCAACTAGAAATTTGAAAAATTCTAGAACAAATGGATTTCTTTAACTATCCCCCCTATGGTACCTAGAAACGAATCTCCCCCTGCAAAGAAATAAATCAACGGCTAAGCATATGAAGTTTTGAGCCTTTTAATGAATCTCTCCTTTTCCGAAAAGGGGAAATACAGGGTGATCCAAAACCTATGACACTTTCGAAAAGGCTGTCAGTTCTAAGCTGACACGTGGATTTTTGATAATTCGTTAATCAAAACTTTCATTAAACAAACCCATAAAGTGTTTTGAGCCATTTTCTTGCTTTTCAATCATATTTTTGTGAACTATTTGTGCTAAATTCTTCAATTTACGCGCTTTCTCGCAAAAATCAAAATCAAAAATGGACAGCGCCCATTTCTTATTTGCCAGTGTGCCAAAGAATTGTTCTCGAAAAAAAATGCCATACTAGTGAGGCAAAAAGGCAAGTTTACTCTAACAGATTTTCGACGCGAATAGGAACGTTTCCGAGACAGGACGGATTTTAGGGACAGGTAACCAACAGAATTGGTGGTCCTAAGTTTCGCATTGAGAGTTTCAACACACTATGAATTCTCAGAGTTTCAGCACACTATGAAATCAAGGCGAAATCATAGGCCCCTTCTGGTTCAGAAATGAGAACGGAAGACCAAATAGGGGTCAACCAGATCGTGTATCTTAGGATGCCCAGAGACCAAGTATACACCCGCGTGTAACACCGCCGAGATATCAGGAGACTTCGGTTTCAACAAGACAGCGCAAGGTGCCATACTACCCCAGCAGCATTGCAGCATCTACCGACGGTTTTTTGTGACCGCATTTTCAGTCGTCCTTTTTAAATTCTTTGGCCCGCCCAAAGTCTTGACCTGAATCGCCTGGCTACTGGTTCAGAGTTTATGGTTGCGCTTCAATTCATCGCGAAAACCCCGGATCACTACCGAACCCATCACAAGTTTTAAAAATGTCTGTCGTGAAGTGACACGGGATCAAGTTTTATCAGCTACAGCTTCAGTCCGCGCCGCGAATGCATGATAAAATATCAAGAAAATAGCGGGAAACAAGAAAATCAAGCATCTCTTAGATTTTTAAAAAGAATTTTCATTTTCTACATCTCTTCTATAAAGATTAAAATTTATGGGTCAACGTCAACTCAATTATAAATGACAGCTTTTTCAAAAATTTCATAGGTTTTGATTCACCCTTAAAAAATTTCCGAACTATTTAATTTCAACAATTAGTTCTAACTTACAAATTGGTGCAATTCGCATTACCCTAAGACTGAAATCGAAAAACATATAAGCCAAACCACTATTACACAACAGCTTTAAGAGAAAAACTTCAAGACTAACATGCATAGCGTTAAATAAGAGAGAAAAGTCGATTTTCAAAAAATGTATCGCCATTATGTAAGCCTGCTCGCTCGATTTATTAGCAAAAATTTCCAAACGTCGTTTCTCGAAAATGAGTATTTTTCGAGAAATAATTTTAAGATTGTTTGAATTACGAATGAGAGGGCTTTAAAATGATACATCATTCGAACCATTCCGATAATTATTTGCGGTACTCGAGTCTGTGTAGAAAAAAAACTAAAGCACAACCGAAGACAAAGATCTTTCCCACTTTCAGTGATCGGATCAATAACTCGGTGATATTGGAATAAAGTTCCTGGGAAAAGCTACTTTATTAATTGAAATACTCCCATTGAAAAGCTCAAAAGCCAAATCGACTTGTCACTTGTCCCAAAATTTCTTGCTCAAAGCCGAAAAAAAATCGTGGAGGCCTTTTTTGTCGTATTAAATAGTTTATATAGCAGGATCATGATAAGAGGAAAAACCACAACTTTCCACACTGGTATATGCTAAAAAACTCAAAAATTGAATAAAATATTGATAAAAAAAACAAATTGAACAAAAACAAAACAAAAATTGATCCAAAAAACAAGGATAGCCGTTTACTGTGCAAGTAGCACAGAATGTTCCGACCATTGTCATTAGAAAACTACGGTTTAGAAAGTTTTTCTTTCCAAATTAGTGTAGTTGCTTCTACTTGGTGTGATAAAAATATCTGACGTAAAAATATGATTTAGGCATCTTAGACAGTCATAGTAAAATAGGCAAAATGGACAACAATTTTGTAGAAAAATGACTACAAAAACTATAAAAAATTGCGGAACATTTTTGAATATTTTAGTTCCCAAAAAGAGACTAAAAAAACTCAGAACTAGTTTTACTTGCTTAAAATTAAGTTTTAAGGTCTTAAATAAGGCATAATTCAGCTTTTATGAGCCTGCTCGCTTGCATTATTCGCTAAAATTAAAATAAAAAATCAAAAAATTCAAACCGGTTTTTCTTGACAGTCGGAAAAATGTTTTGGAAGTTTTTTAATGTGGTTAAAATCACGACTGAAAGGGCTTTAGTAAGATATATCACTCAACCCCGTCCAACAATTATTTTGGTGCCTGCATTTGTGTGGAAAACGAAAAGAAAAAAACTACAACACTCGAATTACAAGTTCCTCCCTATTTTTCAAACAATCGGAACAAAAATTAACTGATCGATTTGTTTTTTTTGGCGTGTCTGTCTCACACAGATAATAGCAAGGATAGCCGGTTTCCGTGCAACTAGCACAGAATGTTCCGACCACAGTCTTAAAAAATGCAAAAACTTTTTTTTTTCAAATCAGTGTCGTTTTTTTCCGCATAGTGTGTTAAAAAGTTCTGAACGAAAAAAAGAACTGAGGCATATTTGACAGTCATAGTAAAAAGGCCATTTGTAAAACAGTTTACTTCAAAATTTACGTTTATTTGACTACAAATGAGTTTTCACGGCTTAAAGTCAGCTTAAATAAGCTATTGTAAACCTACACGCTCACACCATATTAGTTCGAAATTAGACAAAAATCAAAAACTTCAAACCTGTATTTCTCAACACTCGGAAAAAAATTTTTGTCGTTCGAATCACGATTGAAAGAGCTTTAATATGATATGTCACTCGACCCGTTCTGATAATTATTTGTGGTACCTGATTTAGCGCGGAAAACAAAAAGAAAAAAGACTAGAACAAGAACCGAATACAAAAATCCTCCCCATTTTTCAAATGGTCAAAACAAATTTATTATGCAAAAACACGAAGACTAAAAACTGTAAAGACTAGGCGCTACCACTTAAATAGACACAAAATTATAGTGAGAAGAACATAAAATCTGATCTTTGTTCAAAAATGACAAAACTCACAAAGGAAAACCTTTTTTAGCTAGTTTTTTAAATTATTAGCAGTAAAACATGTTTTCGAGATAGAAATTTCTCGATTCGAAGTAAAAGGAGCTAACAGGATCAAAGGAGCAAAATTCAAGCTATCGTGACAAAAAACAAAACGATGATACATAAGCCGTTTTTTTGTGACAGGATGAGGAAGACATTGACAGAGTAACATGTTAACAGACTAATATTAAACTTGACGAACACAGACAACTGCAAAAAGGAGCATTTTAAAATTCGATGGGATACGAAAATCAGCATTGCAAGAAATTAAACTTCATTAAAACGATCGCGGACTGCCGGGTTTCAACCTAGTTCAAGCAGATTCAAAAAAATAAAACGGCAGTTAGCTGAAGGAAAAAAAAGGACGAAAGCCACTGAGACGGAAAAAAAAACGCAAAAAAATATCGAACAATTTCATAAAAATTTCCTCGAATGTGGTTCAATAAGAGAAAAAGATGTCGAGATTGCCCATGTTAAAAACAGAGCAAACAAATAGTTAGAAAAGCGCCAATAAACGCAAGTAAAGAAAAAAACAGTTATTTGTTTTTTGAAAAAATCTCAATTTTGAGAAAACCAAATCACTAGGTAAACAAACCTCTTATTTTGCTGGTAAATCAAAACTAGAAATCAATCACGTTTTCTTGCCCTTTACAACACTTTTGGCGTTCGATAATGGTTTTACTTTCGAAACTAGAAGTCAATCACGTTTTTCGTTAACTTTACACTTTAGGTGTTCAATAGCGGAGTTTGCCTTCTGAGCATGGACAATTTTTAAGATTTTCGTTAAAAAAAATACATCACGACCTATATGAAAGTCTGAACAAGTGTCGAGGTTGGAATAAATTTCGAGATGCAATATAAACTGCTGCTTATCTGGCATGAAACACGTAAAAAATTGAACAAAGCACTACTTTGAAAAACTTTTTACACTAACACGTGATTTTTTCTTGCTAATTTATTTTGGCCGATCGCTCTGGGAAAGATACTGTACTAGTGTTTCAAATAATGCACTGGTGCTTCAAATATTGCACTAGTTTTTCAAATAATTTAAATATGGTGTTTCATAGAAAAATGGAAATGGACAAATTTCAGCAAAAAATTTTCATCTACTTTTGTTTTATTCTCAAATCATTACACTATGTGCTGCTTGCACAGCAACCGTCTGACTTTGTTTATAATTTTCTGAACCTCAAGGAATCTGCTAACACATACATACATTGACAGCTCGAAACGAGGCCAGTACCTAAGCCGAAAAAATAGATATTTAAAAAAAATCAGAAAAACTTCCATTCTGTTTTCGGTTTACCTTCAAACCTACAATGAATCGCCTGCAATGTCTACAAAACACAACTTAAATCAAAACTTGAACGCACAGTACACTTTGAAAAAACAAATTTGAAATCATGATAATAAAATTTAGGCCATTGCAACCAGACCTGAAAAATGCGCCATTTCTCTGCGACAATTTTGATGATTGTTGATTGATATAATTATTTTGCAAAAACTGCCATGGTTGTTTAAGCCCAAACTTTGGCAAAAAACAAGCTGACACTAAGTTGAAAAAATTTGAAACGAAAACCACGAAGCCGAACAAAATCCGATTACCTTGATTAAACTTTCCAAACTTTGGTTATCGTTCTCGGAGAAAGGGAAAGAACTATGGATTACGTTCTTTCTTAAAAGATGTTCTTCCAGCCAACTTTGAATACATCAAGGAAAACTTTTAGGGGGGTCAAGGGTTCAATTTAAGAACTATTGGTCGTGATTTTGATTCTTAAAACATTCAAAAAAGTTCGCTCAATGTCGAGAAAAACTGGTCTGAAATCAACGAAACTTGCAAGTCAAGAAAAATACTTTTCGGCGCAAGAACATTTTTGACGCAACAAGTAGGCCGACAAAACACAAAAGACCACCAAGGCCTTCAATGCAATTTTTCGCATAAAAAACTCAATTTCAAAAACATACGCGAATGACAAAAATCAGATAGGGACGCGAACCCCATACCTCAGGCTGCAAAAGCATAGCTATAAATAAACTTTGAAAACCCGCAACAAAAGAAACAATCAATTGTTTCTCAAGTGGAAGTCATTGCTAGCAAAAACCTAAAACAAACGCAACACTACTTTGATCAACTTTTCACAGTGATGCGAAGCTGGGCTTCGCATCACTTGCGATACAAAACAAAAAAACCACGAAGCCAAAAAAACATTGAAAAAATTCAAAAGCGTTAAAAAAAACTATTCCTGCCAAGATGATATACAAAAAAACATTCCTGCCAAGATGACAAAACAACTTTTAGAAAAAACATTCCAAGACGATAGATTGTGAAATTAGCATTCAATCAAGAACAAAACTTACCAAGTGGTAACAAAGCCAAAAACACCTTAGCGGAAACTCTCTAAGCCGAAAAAATTCAATGAAACTAAAGACTTATAAAAAAAACCCGCACCCTCAAAACACACACGCACGCATACTTTTTTCGCTCATCGATAGACACATCATGTGGCCATTAAGCCAATAAACTAAAGGGCAAACCTTTCAAGCCGAAAAAAAAGCCGAAAAAAATTAGTGTCTTGGAAAACTTGAAAAATAAATTCTACACAGAGGCGAAGTTGCACTTCGCATACACAAGCAAAAACATGACCGATAACGCTACTGGGAAAAACTGAATGAGTAAAATTTTGAGTCTGCAAAATTTCTTCGGTGACGCACGCCACTTATGAGTCTACATAATTGCTCAGTGACGCACGCCAGTTATGACGCATTAACAGTACCAGTCAATTAAAAAAAGAAATTTACCAACTAACATGCCTCAGTTTATAGAGCGGACGAATTTTAACTAGTATACGAATAAGTTCATTAAAACATCCGACCCTGCCCAGGTTCCAAACCTCTTATTTTGCTGCTGGTCTCCGTCCCTACCTCTACGCTACAGATCCAAGATGTCTTGAAGCTAAAGTGCTATTTATAACATAGAAGTCTGTTCTAATATCCTTAGCATTGGCTGTACTTAGTAGCTGGATCAAAATGAAAACTTTCAAAGTGAAAACATTTACTCGCAACAATTGCATCGCACCAAAGTTTGCGGCTTAGGTTGGAAAAAAGGAAGTTCACACTATAACACAAGCTATGCTTGTGTAAAAACATCCGACCCTGCCCAGGTTTAATCCTTTTTATTTTGTTGCTGGTCTCCTTCCCTACCGCTACGCTACAGATCCATGATACCTTGAAGCTAAATTGCTATTTGTAATATAATACTCTGTATTAATATCCTTAGCATTGGCTGTACTTAATAGCTGGTTATTGATCAAAACGAGCACATTCAAAATCAACACATTTTGTCGCAACAATATTCGCATCGCAATAATATTTGCAATTTAGGTTAGAAAAATAGAGAGTTCATACTATAACACAAACTTTGCTGGTGTAATTAAGATTTTTAGCACTTTGCGCGATCCAGAGTTGAGCATAAAAAATATTTGAACAGAATAAAGCAAAAAAAAAATGAGAATATGCTACTTCCAGGCTCGTAATATAACAAACGGCACAGAAGTAAATCAAAACCTTAAAAGCAATTACAATAAAAATTGCAAGCAGCAAAAAAATCTGAACCAATAGCATTAAATCAGTCGAAATAGCAAGGAAATTAGACAATTTTTCGCGCGATACTTTGTGATATTTTTTTTTGGAAAACGAATCACAATCTAAGAGTGCGTGGAAGAAAATGTGCTTGAGGTACTTCAGATTCCTACTTACACCTGGTGATGCTGAGAACAATAGTTTATACCGAAGCGTTGCTTGATGAGCTTAGCAAAATTTAAAAATCGAAAAATTTTATTACAACCTTAATAAAGTTTTTTCAAAAGGTCCAAATCAGGTTGATTTTGAGCATTCGAAAAAAAATTTTTTTAAGGTAAATAAGCCAACAGAATTAAAGCCGACAGCCAATGCGCTGAAAATCAACCCAAATTTTTCGTGAAACTCTTATTGGAAAAAATATACGTATCCACAAGTACCATATATGTACTAAATAGAAGGTGGTAAACACAATTCGGGAAACTAAACCGAGAGCTGAATCGCTAACCCTAGAGTTCAAAAAGCATCAGCAAAAAATAATACCGAAACTCATACCCAGAAAACATGCCCGAAACTCTATAATAATACATACAGCTATATCTCTCAAAATTAATGAAAATAAGTGAAAAAAAACATGCCGACAAAAAAGGAAAATACCCTTCGGCATCGGAAGAAAACTTACCAACGGGTAACAAATCTGAAAATACCTGAGCAGAAACCCTTCAAGTCGAAAAAATTGCAAACTAATTTAAAACAAATAGTAAGTCCCCCCAAATCAGAAACACAAAAACTGGCTTGGTCCATCAAACGGCAAAATATGCGGCGACTAAGACAATACAAAATAGCTCAACCTATTGAGCTAAAAATACAAAAACATAAATTTTAAACCAATCGACTTGGTAAAATTACAACCAACTATAAAAAGCATATTTCTGAATAAGACGGATATTTGAAATGCTAACATACTAGAAATATGCCTGCTGCAATTTTTCCAACAGAGTGGACAAGATGAATGAGTCCAGGAGATGCGTCACAAGAGTAATAACAAAGTGATTGGACCCTAAAACTCTAGAACGTTCGAACTTCCTCTAACTGAGAAAAAACTTTAGACACAAAATTTTGGTGAAAAACAACGTACTCTCAAAAAACCTGATACATTGGTCAAAGGTCACCAAAGACTGCATTGAGACCAGCTGTTCATCAAGCTACAGAAGTTTGAGAGCTATTGGCAGTACAATTCACAGCCAATACATTGACAGTATCTGTCCACTATCTTCATTATTTTCCAAAAAATACCTGATTCAGAAAAAATTGCGTGCGATGAAGGACTAGTTATCTAAAATGATATCGACACTCACAGATTGTATTATCATTTAACAGTTACGCATAGTTGGTTTACAATAGTCAATTGATGCGCGCATAAATAGGTTACATTCGATTTAATTCAGTACCAGAGTCAGTTGTTGCAAGTCTCGGAGTCGTCAGGAATTGAAATCATTATTAGGTGTTTCATGCATGCAGGCGGTTGTCGTATCAAAAAAATTCTTGGTGGTAATTTTGCTACCAAGTGCTTCCAAGGTGTTGTAATGAGTTCTTTGACAAGCACTAGATTAGCGCCATTTGCATTTTACTGGTTTTCCTCCTGCTCGTCCTGAGCGTTGTCGGAAGTCCACAGAGTCAAGTTGTCTCGCAACAACTGCATGATGAGTGTCGAGTCCTTGTAACTGTCTTCCTTCAAGGTGTCGAGTTCAGCAATAGATTCGTCGAATGCTTTCTTTGCCAATTCGCAGGCCTCTTTGGGCTCATTCAGGATTTCGTAGTAGAAGACTGAGAAGTTCAGTGCCAAACCCAGGCGGATTGGGTGAGTTGAGGGCAAAGTGTTTGCAGCTTCAGTAGCCTTCTCATATGCCTTTCTGGCGGGAGTAGTAGTAGATTCGGCATCCTCGCTCTTGACCTCAGCCAAGTATCGGTAGTAGTCACCCTTCATCTTAAGGTAGAACACCAAGCTCTCTGTACCCTTCGAGTCCTCATTTTTCTTCTGCTCGGTCTCAGAGTTGGGAATGAGGAACTTATCAAGCAAGCCAAGAACTTCGTTGCAGATATCCTTCAGCTCACCCTCAATTTTTTCTCGGTATTCCTTGGCTAGGTCCGTTTTTTTCTGATCAGCGGTGTGCTTTTGTTCAATGCTGCTGATAACCCTCCATGACGCCCTTCGAGAACCAACAACATTCTTGTAAGCAACTGACAAAAGATTCCTCTCGTCAGTAGAAAGAAGCTCACTCTCACCTAGCAGCTCAGTCACCTTCTTCATAGATTCTGCCATGTCATCGTATCTCTCGGCCTGCTCGGCGATCTTCGCTTTCTGGACAAGTTCTTCGCGAGACATAATGAGAATGTTAAGATGTTACGAACGAGCAAAGATTCTAAAAAAATGAGGTACAGATAAACCCATGAATAGCATTTTTCGCGCGTCCTGTCTAGTTGAATTAATTTGAAGCTAGCAAAAACAAAGTTCAACACAGAGCTATGTTTTTTTTCTATTTTTCTTTTTTTTAAATCTTTTTTTCTCTCTTTTTTTAAAGGTAATCAGAAGGTCAAAAGTATCATAGTAACCGAGGTTACAGTCATGAGTCTCTTCATCATGTATTCCAGTCAAAATCCTTGGAATTTTCTAGATATGGAAGTGATAATGATAAAAGAAGATGACAAGTGTTTAAGTCCTTTTCAATTAAAATCGATACGGGTTACGTTTCTTCAATAAGAACACGCAACTCGACACGAGATAAAAATTTCTGAATCTGGATGGCTACTTTCTGTTTTTTCTAGAGCGAATACTACTATGACATAGACTAGCAAAGTCAGACTGAAACGAAAGTAGCCAACCTTTGGGTGCTCGTTAATAAGTGTGCCATTCCGCCGGATGACACAGTATAACCTTCCCGCGACGGAAAAAAAAGTGACTAAAGGCCTTACGAACAGAAAAGTGTTGCGACGGAGGGTCAGAATGTTCTGGAATTTTTATTTTTAAAATTTCGATTTGAAGGAGAACATTTCTGAGAAATAGAAAAAAGACGGCCATTTTGAATAAAATAGAGAAAAATCAGAACGACGCCATATTTTGTGACGAACGGTTGTATCCGAGAAGAGAAAATTACGGAGCCTCTTATCGTGGCAATAACACACGATAAGGACCTTAGTGACGGATATTTGTGGAGACGGAGGCTTCAGTGGGGGGAAGAGAAATACCACGGAACCCTCCCGGGACACGAAATATAGGAGATAAGAGTGTTGTCTCAAGAAAATCACGGGAGCGGAGGCTTGGTCCCCCAGAGACTGTTATATGTGAAGGGACTGTGTAAACTAGCCATAACAGTTGCTGTAATGTCCTAGATCTGAATTAAACACCGTTATTATTTAATATTTCAGAGCATGAGTAGATAGAGAAAGGAAAAGGTCAATCCATCTCCAATGGATTTAATATAAAACTGTCACACAAAAACATATAGAAATAGGTGGTTCGAGCCGTGTTTTTAATGACAATCACGTAGTCTGAGGATCCGAGACTCAGCTATGTGGTTGTGTTCGCATGCAAACGAAAGCTGATCAAAAGTCGTTTGACTGATGGCCTAAAAATAGTAACTTTTTACTTTGCCCTAGACAGACCAGAAAATCAACTGGCAAGGTCGAGACGGTGAAAAACGAGTGGAATTAAGGTAACTGACGCCTGCCAGTCGTCAATAGGTACTTTTTCTACGCTCCGTCGCTGTGTGATATTTGGGCGAATGTTACATAGACGTTTTTATGGCGCTCCTGGGTGGGCCTGTTAAAGGCATGAAACCATCATGATCAGCAAGCGTTTCAGCGACGTACCCTCCGCTCCGGGCGTATGCCCGAGTTAGAGGCCTTAATGACCGTTTTCGTACTAGGGGGAAGGTGCGTACCCCTCCGTCTAGTACGATTTAGCTTTTTAACTTAGTTAACACCGAAAATTCCGGGGGTCGGAGGGTTAGGTGGGAAATCTAGAGCCCGCTTGTCCTGAGGTCCCAGGACCAAAAACAATTAAAGAGAAAGCGTAAAACCAAACAAAAAATAGTGTATAACCAAGAAAAAGCCAAAAATAATTATTTAAAAACAAAAAAAGTACAAAAAACAGTAAAAAATCCAAAAAAGACCAAAAACAGTAAAAAAACATAAAGTGACAGTTTATATGTTATTTCCGGACGAGATGTGATCTGACCTTCCTATTTGTTGTTGTTTCAGATTGATTTATATCGTTTCTGATAGAGAGATTGTGTGTTTTGGTGAAGGGTTGGGTACCCTCCCTCGAGTGTAATTTGAGTGTTTAAGCACGTTAATGGTGATTTTGCCGGTGACCGGAGGGTAGAGTGGCAGGCTGATCAACGTGTTCCACACTCAACAGGGACATCAAGGACAACATCCGCAACGACTGTTGGGTATCGTTGAAGCAATTTTAGTATCGTTCGGGTACTATTTCCTTAAAACTTAAGTGGTGGGGGGCACGATTGGCGCGGTCCGATTGTACCCTCCATCGATTACAAATTTCCGAGTTAAGGGTCTTAATTCGAATATTTTGGTGCAAAGGAGGGTATAGTACTATTTATTAACGACTATTTATAGATTATTGTCCTTACTATATATTACTTATCTCCTATTTAGACCCAAGAAACACCCATTTTTGTCGAAAATTACCAATTTTCGACCAAACTGTAGACCCCCAAATTTTCGGATATCCGAGCTTTTCCGATAGGCAAAAAGCTTTCATATAGAGAGTAGCCACGTAGTTCGATCCCCTTTATTAAAGAAACCGCGTGAGCAAAGATTCAGTAGAAGTTAGGAAAACGAGAATTTTTCGACCAAAATTTTGATAATTTTCTGTATTTTGTCAATCTGTTTTGGGGATCGATTTTTTGAGTTTTTAGAGTTAGAGCAATAAAATTTTTTGCGTTAGGAGCGTGCTAGCATAACGTGCTCGGTTACTAGAGAAATTTTTGGGTAACCCTCCGAGTAGCTCCGTGGATAGAGCTAACGACTTAAGGTTTGGAAAAGGAAGGAATCGGAGGGTCCAAATTTGATAGTTTTTGGCCAAATTTTTGTTTCTAAACCAATTTTGGTCCGGTTTTTTGCATTATTCCAGTGCCGTACAGGGCTACTACGCTCATTTCAAGTATTTTTAGGCACTTTCGACCGGAATTGCGAAAAAAGTCTTTCAGATCCTACACAGGTGGTGAAAAAGGCCATTTTGACGAACGCGTTGTTGGCGATTTCTCAAAGACTAGTTATCCGATCGGGATAATTTTGGTACCATAAGTCGACGTTTTTGACCACTTTTCCGAATCGCAACCGTTTTTGGGTTGATTATTTCGGAAAAGAAAAATTTTTTAGAATTTGTTGGTTCGGAGGGTCCAAGTAACGGGCAACCCTCCGAGCGGCAGAAAATTTTATCAAAACATCTTTTTATTCAACTGGGAAGGTTGACCGTGTCAGCCAACCTAGTCTTAAGTCAGGTAGACCGCTTTCAGAGGCTTTACTGCGGTGATTTAACCCTTTTTCTTGATTTTAGGGGGAACCCTCCGAAGTGACCCTCCGGAGTCAGCTAAACCCTTTAGCAACCCTCCTTAGTGGAAAATTTCCACGAGATCACCCTAAGAAGTTGAAACAGCTCCCCCTAGAACCCTTAGCTTATTTTGACGCTTTTTGAAGCTAGTAGGAGAACCTTCCAAGTGAGATCAGAAAATTTGAAAATTTTGGAGGTACCCTCCGAAGTGACCCTCCGGAGCGTATTAAGCATCTTATTGACCCTCCTTAGTAAATTTAAGGGGACCCTCCGAAGTAACTTGGGTGATTAAGATACCCTCCTAAGTAACTTGAGTGATTGAGGTACCCTCCGAGGTAACCCTCCGGAGTGTCTTAAACCTTCTAGCGACCCTCCTTGTAAGAGACTTGAGTAAACCTTCTGTGGCAATTTGGGAAACGGAAAATATCCATTTAATTAGGATCATATTAGGATATTAGGCGTGCTTATCAGGATCATAAGAATCCATTCTGACCCGGAAATTCGTGATCAACTTTGGATTCTATATTGGGTGTATTAGAAGTACCCGAACAAAATTTTTTTTTGATTGTGATTTTGGTTGAGTGGTTGCCTTGAGCTACTTAATAGGAAAGTTCGGGCAATCCGGGAACAAATAAAGGAAGACCTCGGTGGGTGTATTAAGCAAATACACACCCACTTGAGAAGAAGAATTGTTCCCTACTCTCGTGCACTTGGAGCAGTCCGAGTGTGGGAGAGCTTTTTCATAGATTTGACGAATTTTCGACCAAGAGGTTGCCTTGAGCTACTTAGTAGGACAGCTCGGGCAATCGCAGGACACCTAAAAGAAGACCTCAGTGGGTGTATTAGGCAAATACACACCCACTTGAGAAGACTGTGTCCTGGGCTTCGTTCTTTCGGATCGTTCCGATTGGGGGAAGTCTTTTTCTTTAAGACTAAGTTTTATTTATCTATTTCTGAATCATCACTGCTTTTTATCGAAGATTGTTTAATTTTAACAAAGCAGTGACTTGATAAATTGTGTGGCGATAAATTGATACTGACAAAAGGTCGCTGTCACCTGTAGGATATTCTTATCTGATTATCGATTGTGTTTTGGGTGTCGATTATATCTTGTGGAAACTTAGTGATACTGTTATACTATACAACCGGGTTGAGTTAGCATTATATCAATACTGGGTAGACCCTGTGTGTAACTTTAGCTGAGTCACTAATTTAGTCGTGAGAGATCTAAGAGACATTTTGATACTGACGGAATCGAGTAGGCAGCGTTAAGTGATTTAACTAGATCTTGTTTGTGGTACGTTTGCATTGCCATCAAATTACGAATACTTTCATTTTGTACAAAACTATGCAGCGCAGGGACTCGTTAGGATCGACTACTAAAATTCCCAGGCTAAGCAAGGGAAGCACGCGGAAATTTAGAACTAGGCGTAGCCAAACCTCGTTTAGCAGCGCTTCCGACGCGTTTGCTGAAGACGAATCGACTAAAGGTCAACCTGATCTTTCAGTGATCGAAATGAGACTAAGGAGCGAGAAAAACTTTGATGGCAATCAAGGGCGGAGCGCCGAGGCCGAGCCTGCGAGCGAAACGCCGGTGGATCCCTTTGACGAAGGGGAGCGAACGCTCATTCGACCCGACTTTGAGCCAGACGGGGTCCTCGAACGAGAGGAAGTCGAGAGGACAGAGGAGACCTCGGAGCGTTCCGAGGTCGAACCTCGGGAGGAGGTGTTGTACAGGGGAATGTCCAAGTCAGAGACTAAGAGCTATAAATGGAGACGGGAACCTTCACATCTGACAAGTGCACACTCATCCTTGGCCAAACAGAGTAACAACGCGATGATGTCGAGTA